GACTTCTCGGTGAAAATTGTCCTTTGTCCGGGGGGGGAAACCTGGATAGGGGAAATTTAGTAAACTATTGTGGATTTGAAACATGTGGAAATGAAAATAAGGCTGCTCTGAGCCCGCAAACAACCGAAACTGTCCAAAATTGTTTTAACAACTGAAAAAAAAACCTTAAAAAAGCTTTTTTATCATACGCTTAAAAGGGGGAAAAAAAAACCTAAAAATTTTAAAAAATTTTTTGCTTCACCTCGTACGTTTTTTTTTTAAAATGAAATCTTTTTTTTACGGGGAACCATACAAGGGTTAAAGCCAATTTTAAAAAAAATTTTGGAACATGTTTGGAGAACAATTTTTTACACTAGTTGTCAGGAAAGGACAATCTTCCTGTCCACTGAAAAACTATTTTAGATATGGGGCGTTTTTCCCGCAACATCATAAAAGAATGGGACGATAGCCATAAAAAATTTCCTAACATTTGTCAAAAAAATCCCTATAAAATTTTTATACAATAGATTTTTCTCTGGAAAAAAATATTTTTTGCATTGATTTTTCCCAAGTATCAATTATCAATGTTGCGGGGATGGTTCGGTGAGGACGCTGCACAATAACTTCAAATGTAAGGGAGACATCCAGGACAAAGAAATGTAAAGGATCTTTTGCTGCCGGGTTTTTACAGACGAATGCAATGACCATGCTAAAGACAACTTCGAAGGGAATGCCTCAAATGGTCACGGGGGTTTTGGGGATTTTACCCGTCAGGAAAATCTTATAGTCCAAAAAATGCGGGAACTTCGAAGAACTGAAACACCGTAGCTCGTTTTTAAGTCCCCTTTCAGAGAACTTTTGGAGACCTTTTATTGATTCTTATTGGCATATCAAAATTTTTGAGGGGGGTTTTTCCCAAGGAAAATATGGGACCCAACAGATCGGAGGATTCCCGCATCCAAATTTTTTAAATATGGATTTTTTAAGCACCATAGGGGCGCAAGTCTCGCTTTTTGCTAGGGCTTGACCCACCCGACTTTCGGAATACCAACCCGAGAAATTCCCGGGGGAAGTTTTCCCCTTGGAAAATCATCCAAAATTTCAGGGGGTTTTAATGATGAGTTGGCGCCACATTTCGTAATTTCCCCCTTTTTCCCCAGTTTGAGGTTTTTTTGTTAAAAGGAGGGAATTAAGCGGGGATTTAGGGATTTTTTTTGGAACTGAACAAGCAAACTATTTGGCCGTCTTTTAGGGTACTTTGGTAGAAAAAAAAGAAACACTTGCTGGCGTATGATCAAAAATGATGCCAGAGTATTTTTAATAATTGTTTTTTCAAAACTAACAAAAAAAATGAAAAGGGGAATTTTTTTTGGGAAAAAAGGGGTTTGCACTTCAAATTTTGTCAAAAAAATGATCCACAAGGGACTTGTATGGGCAATTTTGCCCTCAACTTTGTTTCTTCTTTTTCATTTCAGCCCCATTCTTGATCTTTTTCATCATACTCGCGAACTTCTAAACGTTTACACAGTCGGAGGGCCAACGATTTTACAACGCAATAGGGGAAAAGACTTTAAAAATCGCCATCTTTCATAAAGATTTCTTGCTGGGGACCTTTTCCCTAGTGACTGGTACTAATTCCCCTTTAATTTTAGATGCAACACCCTGGTATGGTGTTTTTAATGATTTTTACCCAATAAAATCTCAAAACCCACTTATCTATGTTACCTGTAACAAGCTTTTAGCGCACCTGCCAAAGACTCGGAACCCCAAACATGGTTCAAAAATTTCCCAAGTTAAGGCAAGATTTTCAACGTCTCCCTGAGACCATTTGGGGAATTTGGGTGGCAGACAAACGGGAAGTTCCCGGGACGCAGTGATGACTGAAATACAGACCCAAAAAAATAAAAAATTGCTGAGACAAAAAGGGCTTATACGGGATTCTGGGGGACAAAGCGGGTAAAAACGATCAATTTAAAGTTTGTCTTGTAAATCCGTATTTTGGACTTGTAGAAATTGCTGCACGCAGATGATGATGGAAGAGAAAGAAGCGCAAAGGAATTTTCATTTGATAAAAATTTTTAAGGGGGTCCTTTAATTTTAAAATAACTACCTGTTTCCGTGAAAATTTGCTTTTAAAAAAAGGTGCCTCCGGCCCCCCCCCCCCCCCCCCCCCCCCCCCAAATTGATCGTTGAAAGGGCTTTAACTTTTAAGTCAAAGGGGCCCCCTTTTTAGTTTTTTGTGAAGGGGGGGGGAGTACAGTTTGGTTTTATTCATAATATTATTTTTTTTATGACAAAGGGGGGTTAAGGGGAAATTTGGGTTTTTTTTTTGATTTTTTTTGGGGACTTTGTACAAAAACATTAAAACATCCTTTTTTGTCTTAAACCCGAATTTTATTTTCTTCTATCCCGTCTTTTTAAAATTTTTTTTAAAATTAAAAAAAAATTAATACTTTTTTTTTAAAAAAAAAGGGGAAAAAAAATCCAAAAAAAAAAAAAACCCCAAAATTTTGGGGGGTTAAAAGGGGGAAAAATTTAAAATCGAAGGATTTTAAAAAGTAACAACAAAAAGACGTTAAAAAAAAAAAATTTTTTAAAAAAAAAAAAAAAAAAAAAAAAAAAATTTTTTTAAAAAAATTGGAAAAAAGGAAAAAAAAAAAGGACCAAAGATTTTTTTTTTTTTTTTTTTTTTTGAATAACCCCGGGGGTTTAGTTTAATTTTTTTTTAAAGGGTTTTTTTTATTTTGAAATTTTTTAAAGTATTTTTTTTTTTTTTAATTTTTATCCCTTTTTTAACCCCCCCCCTCCCCCCCTCCCCCCCCCGCCCCCCCCCCTCCCCCCCCCCCGCTTTAATCACAGCCTAATGCCGAAAAACTGTTTACGGACTAAACAAAAGATAACTGGCGAAATTTTGTTTTAAAACAAGTTTTCCAAAAACTACTCGTAACCATAAATATTTACAACTGGGTTACTTAAATTATTATCGAATGAAATGGCGAATTTACGTTGTCGAAATCGTATTACTTATCGACCAAGGTTAACCGGGCCAGCTACACCGAACCAATGTGGACCCTTCTCCTCCCTAAACTCCCTGATGTCAACTCTCGCTCCGTGTCAACTCTCCAATTCCAGCAACGCAGATGGACTCCTGGCGGGCGCCAGTTTGGAAGAAAGGGACGTGTAAGAACCTCGCCCCCCCCCCCCCCCCCCCCCCCTCGTTTTTGCCTCTCAGTTAATAGCTGAGTACAGAGATTTGACACTTAAACTTCATACCTCATTCAAACCGTGGTGGACCTTACGGGACCTCCCCAGCAGCGAATGAAGGCTCATTAGAAGATAGCAGCGGCAAGACTTCCACCACCTTCGGGAGCGCGCCAATCACCCCGAGCAACTATTCATGTGGTGACCAATCACGGAGTCCCGAACCGGGTGTCATGACGGCGAAACCCCGCATCTAAGTGGACAAGGAGAGGATGTTAAAAATGAGCTGGCACGATCAATTATAGAACCGCTAATTTTAGACGGTAATTACCACAATTTGGGAGACCACCCGAGATGGCGAACTTCCGGTCACCTCACTTCGACTTTTTCAACTCCGATTCCGGCCACTCGACCTCCGGTTCCTGCACTGACCCTCCCGAGTCCCTCCAGATCGCGTCTTCTTGGCGACTGATAGACGAGATCAGACTCATCTTCGGACTTGCAAAAGGATGCCGACTCATTGAGCTGTAGATGGCGAATGCAGATCAATCTAGAACGAGCACTTCAACTCTCACGCCCAACTTGTCCTAGCGCGGTTAACTCGGTCGATACTATTAGTCAGTGTAATAAGCGCCAAGCGCGAGCACAATAAAATAAATCCACCGTGTAGCAATTTTCGCTAAAAATGCTACACGGCGCTTGTTCGCCGCGCGTGCTTTTCAGTTCATCAAGACGAAACTTTTAGTACTAATATTTTAAGATTTAAAGGAAAATTATTTTCAAAAATTTTTAATCTGAACACAAGGGTCCCCCCTTGTGTGAAATTTTGAACAAATTTTTGTGCTTCAAATATTATAATTTTGGTACTAAAAGTTGCGTCTGACTAAGTTCATTACGATCCTGTATGAATTATTTCAAAATATTCAATATGTTAGGAGTTATAGGCATTTTAAGCAATAGATTACCCATTTTCCGTCCTTTGTACACTCTTGCGATGCACAAAAGGCCATCATACAGCTCGAAGTTATCGTGCTACACGGTGAATTTTCATTATTCACACTTAGAGGCAACTTTTGGTACCACATTTATCAAAATCAGAAACAAAAAATTCTGTGCCAGCTCATGGCGCTTATTACATAGACTATATATTCTATTGTACTATAACATGATATTCCATACTATTTACCTTGATGACCAGACGTTCTGCTGGTCTTTTTATGAACTGTCATTAATCGTTTACACTACAAACCGCTAAAACTACTATACTCAGAATCTTCAAAGCTATGATTGAAAGTTGAGTCGTAACAATTACCAGGAGTGTTGAATGCAACAAGTAAATTTGAATCCTTGACACAGAATGCCGTATTTAATTACGAACTTAACTCGTACAGTTTCAGAGGGATACAAGTTCTTGGCGAATAAGAGTACCACCACACTGGTGGGGCCTATCGATGCTGACGACCCTCACGCTAGTCATCATTAGAGCGCTCTAGCTACTAGTATTTAGGCAGCAAGTCATTTGACTTGTAGTCGACACTATATACCAGGTGTAGTTAGATCCTATACTGGTTCTGATAGGATGGAGCCCTATAAATTGCGTAGACCTAGTGACTAGCTAGTAGGTACTCCTACCGGAAGTTCCTATATTACTAGACACTAGTATCGTTATTATTTAATAAAACCAACAAAAATAAAGAATAAATACTTTTAAAAGAAGAGGGAAAAAAGGAAAACAAAAAGAAAAAAACTTATCGTCTGCATAACGGAAAATTTATACTTCTGAATCAAAGTATTGATTATAATGCTATGTTATTTTAGAATAATTGGAACAATTATTGAATCATGCTGATATTTTAGTATTTATAACATTAGTACAAAACACGTCTTTTAAGTGTTGTTTACAATGATATGGAACGTATTGACTAATATGTTAGATTAGTAAAATTATAACAATTATAATTTTGCAGTGGTGACTGGTGAGAACAGATCAGATTATCATTCAATAATTTGGCTCTCATATTAACTTCGGGACATCACTGTCGCAGTTGAATTGCAAAAGTATAAACGGTGGAAAAGCGTGAACTCGCCCAGTCAAAACCCAGTCTACTGCCAAAATACTGAATTATATATCAGAGCTATAATTAGGGGAGCTGTAAATGGGAAGAAATAGTTTGAGAGAGAGAGAGAGAGAGATAGAGAGAGAGTGTGAGAAAAAGTGAAACATTTGAGTACCATATTTGGGGTACAAAACCTGAAAACCATCTTAGTAACAATAAAGAATGAAATTTTTTGAAAGGTTTGAAGAAAGGGCAGTGAAGAATTTACGATGGAAAATATATTGTAGACATCATAGACAACTGTGGTTACTTTTTTATGTGTTAATTGCAAATAAATAACGAAACAAATTGCAATAGTTTTCACTCATCTTGATTTTTTTCAAAATAATTTCTTTTACAATCATAACTTTTCAAAACATAACTTTTACAAATATCTATCTACAATATCCGCTAACTGTCCATTTCAATAATTTAACAACTTCCGCCACAGTCCGATGTCATCCTTTTTCCCGCCTCCATTTCATCGGGTACAAGGGAGAAAGTGCTGTCACAGCCCATTTTTGAAAAGGCAAACCTCTTTGCCTCAGCATACATGGCTCCACATTCACCTGTAAGTTCTTTCTCGTACAATACCTTTCCTTTGATCTTGATCTGTAAGACGCCGTCCTTGAGGGACAATGTCCAGGCAGTCTGTCCGCCTCTGTTGCGAGCTTTCTTTAAAGCTGGAGGTGTCTGGCAGGCACCACATCCGGTGAGGTAGATCCCGGACAGACTCCATTGTAGTCTGCCGATCTGTTGACCGTCTCCGTCAAACAGGACGATGGTGTTGAACTTCTTCCGTCTAATGTGAGAACGCACTTGGACTCCTTTGTGGGAGTTGATTAGATCCTGCTTTACTGTACAGTCCATGTTAGAGCAGTAGCCACACTCAGGAGTCCAGCAGTCACAGGTCGGGTATTGCACTGAAATAATAGTTCATAATAGTCTATAAATAGTCAAGACCTAACTAAATTAAATAAATACATTTAAATTAATTAAAATAAGAACTTCAGGAGGTGTAAATTTATTATAACTTTAAGCATAACATACATTCATAATAATTCTATGTTTAGTTGCTCAAGCTTTAACATTCTTCAAATCAACGATAACAAGATAATCAGTGCCACATGTCCGAGTTGATAAACATAAAGATGATCCTATTTGATGGCAAACTGAATTCACTATTACGCTGCAAGAGTAACTAACCATGTCCACAGTCATCTTCTGATGCAGATCCAGCAGCTGCAACTTTGTCTTCAGGACAACTGGTACAAGAAGAAGCTCCATCACCACTGTAACTGTTCTCTCCACATTGCTGACATCCACTGTCAGTCATGAAGTCTCCAGCAGAGCATGGAGCTGAAATATCAATATTTCAATATTTAAAAAACTCGCCATATGATCGATACTTGACAACATTTGTTAATATTCTAAGATGTCCTATCCTATACTGTGAAGTATCTAATTACATAGTATGGTTTCATGATAGCAAAGGTTATCATTGTGATTGAATTTGGCTTTTATCAATTAACTCCATTTTACCATATTCACAGTCATCTTCTGATGCAGATCCAGCAGCTGCAACTTTGTCTTCAGGACAACTAGTACAAGAAGAAACTTCGTCACCACTGTAACTGTTCTCTCCACATTGCTGACATCCACTGTCAGTCATGAAGTCTCCAGCAGAGCATGGGGCTGAAATATCAATATTTCAATATTTAAAGAACTCGCCATATGATCGATACTTGACAACATTTGTTAATATTCTAACATGTCCTATCCTATACTATGAAGTATTTAATTACATAGTATGGTTTCATGATAGCGAAGGTAATAATTGTGATTGAATTCGGCTTTTACTCTTTTATCAATTAACTCCCTTTTACCATATTCACAGTCATCTTCTGATGCAGATCCAGCAGCTGCAACTTTGTCTTCAGGACAACTAGTACAAGAAGAAGCTCCATCACCACTGTAACTGTTCTCTCCACATTGCTGACATCCACTGTCAGTCATGAAGTCTCCAGCAGAGCATGGGGCTGAAATATCAATATTTCAATATTTAAAGAACTCACCATAGGATCGATACTTGACAACATTTGTTAATATTCTAACATGTCCTATCCTATACTATGAAGTATTTAATTACATAGTATGGTTTCATGATAGCGAAGGTTATAATTGTGATCGAATTTGGCTTTTATCAATTAACTCCATTTTACCATATTCACAGTCATCTTCTGATGCAGATCCAGCAGCTGCAACTTTGCCTTCAGGACAACTGGTACAAGAAGAAACTTCGTCACCACTGTAACTGTTCTCTCCACATTGCTGACATCCACTGTCAGTCATGAAGTCTCCAGCCGAGCATGGAGCTGAAATATCAATATTTCAATATTGAAAGAACTCGCATTGCATAGGATCGATACTTGACAACATTTGTTAATATTCTAAAATGTCCTATCCTATACTATGAAGTATTTAATTACATAGTATGGTTTCATGATAGCAAAGGTTATCACTGTGATTGAATTTGGCTTTTTTCAATTAACTCCATTTTACCATATTCACAGTCATCTTCTGATGCAGATCCAGCAGCTGCAACTTTGTCTTCAGGACAACTAGTACAAGAAGAAGGCTCAACACCACTGTAACTGTTCTCTCCACATTGCTGACATCCACTGTCAGTCATGAAGTCTCCAGCAGAGCATGGAGCTGAAATATCAATATTTCAATATTTAAAGAACTCGCCATATGATCAGTACTTGACAACATTTGTTAACATTCTAAGATGTCATATCCCATACTATGAAGTATCTAATTACATAGTATGGTTTCATGATAGCGAAAGTTATCACTGTGATTGAATTTGGCTTTTACTCTTTTATCAATTAACTCCCTTTTACCATATTCACAGTCATCTTCTGATGCAGATCCAGCAGCTGCAACTTTGCCTTCAGGACAACTCGTACAAGAAGAAGCTTCGTCACCACTGTAACTGTTCTCTCCACATTGCTGACATCCACTGTCAGTCATGTAGTCTCCAGCAGAGCATGGAGCTGAAATATCAATATTTCAATATTTTAAAAACTCGCCATAGGATCGATACTTGACAACATTTGTTAATATTCTAAGATGTCATATCCTATACTATGAAGTATTTAATTACATAGTATGGTTTCATGGTAGCGAAGGTTATAATTGTGATTGAATTTGGCTTTTATCAATTAACTCCATTTTACCATATTCACAGTCATCTTCTGATGCAGATCCAGCAGCTGCAACTTTGTCTTCAGGACAACTAGTACAAGAAGAAGCTTCATCACCACTGTAACTGTTCTCTCCACATTGCTGACATCCACTGTCAGTCATGAAGTCTCCAGCAGAGCATGGAGCTGAAATATCAATATTGCAATATTTAAAGAACTCGCCATATGAACTATTTTTGGCAACATTTGTTAATATTCTAAGATGTCCTATCCTATACTATGAAGTATTTAATTACATAGTATGGTTTCATGATAGTGAAGGTTATAATTGTGATTGAATTTGGCTTTTATCAATTAACTCCATTTTACCATATTCACAGTCATCTTCTGATGCAGATCCAGCAGCTGCAACTTTGCCTTCAGGACAACTAGTACAAGAAGAAGCTCCATCACCACTGTAACTGTTCTCTCCACATTGCTGACATCCACTGTCAGTCATGAAGTCTCCAGCAGAGCATGGAGCTGAAATATCAATATTTCAATATTTAAAGAACTCGCCATATGATCGATAATTGACAACATTTTTTAATATTCTAAGATGTCCTATCCTATACTATGAAGTATTTAATTACATAGTATGGTTTCATGATAGTGAAGGTTATAATTGTGATTGAATTTGGCTCTTATCAATTAACTCCATTTTACCATATTCACAGTCATCTTCTGATGCAGATCCAGCAGCTGCAACTTTGTCTTCAGGACAACTCGTACAAGAAGAAGCTACATCACCACTGTAACTGTTCTCTCCACATTGCTGACATCCACTGTCAGTCATGAAGTCTCCAGCAGAGCATGGAGCTGAAATATCAATATTTCAACATTTACAGAACTCGCCATAGGATCGATACTTGACAACATTTGTTAATATTCTAAGATGTCCTATCCTATACTATGAAGTATTTAATTACATAGTATGGTTTCATGATAGCAAAGGCTATCACTGTGATTGAATTTGGTTTTTATCAATGAACTCCATTTTACCATATTCACAGTCATCTTCTGATGCAGATCCAGCAGCTGCAACTTTGCCTTCAGGACAACTAGTACAAGAAAAGGCTCCAACATCACTAAAAGAGTTCTCTCGACATTGCTGACATCCATTGTCAGTCATGTAGTCTCCAGCCGAGCATGGGGCTGAATGAATTTATCACTTTATACTATAATTGAATAAAAAATTACATTAGCGTAAATTTTCAAACCCCACTTATGCCGGCTTACGCGATATTGTAAATTAATCCTTATGAATAAGTAGGAGATAAAAAATCCCTGCTTAATTAGTTAACTGCTTAATTTATTATTTCTCAATTTCTCAATTTCTCAATTTCTCAATTTCTCAATTTCTCAATTTCTTAATTTATTAATTTTTTAATTTTTTAATTTCTTAATTTCTTAATTTCTTAATTTATTAATTTCTTAATTTTTTTAATTTTTAATTTTTTAAATATCTATTTGCTTTGTACCTGGTGTTGCTATAATTGGAGCTACGGTCCCGGAAGAAGTCATATACTCCCCAGTAACAACTGAAAATAACCACTTTCAAAACTCTTTAAGTAACGACTTGTAATAAACTGTTTAAGTAACGACTTAAATAAATTCTTAATTACTCAGGAATCACTTTTTCAGCTCTTTCAGATGAGAAACGATGTCTATGCTTGCTTCAACGAAAATGGAAGGCAAAACTACGAGGTCAGAAATATGAATGATCTTTTGTTCAAACATTGCTACGCGATCGTTTCTTCACATGAATTTTTTACATTTTCTAACGTTACCAAGCTCCATAAAGCAAAATGTGTAAAATTGAACTTAAATTCTTACGTCCTTCTCCGGTAAAAGGTTCAGTAACTTCACCATCTCCTCCACCTCCACCTCCACCTCCTTTACCCTTCCCTCTTCTTCGTCCTCTTCCTCGGCCTCTTCCTCCGCCTCCACCTGCTGACGCCTCTGTAGCTTCCTCTTCTGCAAATAAACTGACTAAGTCGTGTAGTTTTATTGAATCTTTGTTGAATTACCATATACGGACGTTTTCCTGGGGTAACATCGCCATATAAGGAAATGTTGCTATGGTTAAAGCACCATATAAGATAGTCTGATTATTTTATAGATTTGGATACTGCAGGGGAGATGAACCATATATAATATATTTTTGACACATGACAGTGATACTGGGCTTTCATTGGTCAATACTGGAATCTGATTGTTAATTCCTGTCACGTGTAATTGTATTCTTATCTCTCCACCAGTATCCAAATTTATAGGTTCTCTTAATATAGACACTACATTTAAAGGTTCTCTTGTTATAGACACTACATATTTACAGGTTCTCTTAATATAGACACTACATTTATAGTTTTACGTCAAGTTTTTTGCATATACCACCGACTTATTTAATAAATATGATGGCAATAAATTCAATGAATATACTTCTAACTTTTTCCTTTGCCTTTTTTCTTTCCTTTTCCTCTAGCTTTCCCAGCCGCAGCCTCTGTTATGGAAATTAAGGTTATCAAATTAATTTTTAAATTAGCAATACATTAATGACAATAAGTTAAATTGTGTTCAACTAATTAATTAATTAATTAATTAATTAATTAATTTTCCATAAAATCTAGATACAAAATCATAATTTGGGCACACATTTTTCTCACGCTTTATTTTCGTAAGATACTATAAAAGTAGTAATAAAACATGTATATTTGAATCGGTGTTTTAACGCCTCAGTGGCATGGAAACTATCTATAATATTAATTTTTAAAGTTCTACCTGCTGCTTTCTTTGCCTTCCTCGCAGCTGCCTTTTCTTTTTTTGCTATTTGTGAGGATAAAGTGAATTAGATAACATCCTATTGAAATGAGATCTCTTTAAAATTTTAGAATATAAATCAATACTTCATAAAATTCTTATGTACATGTTCATTAGTCGCTTTAGATGGCTTTAACTGAATCTTTGGATTTTGAGTTCTTTTTGAGCTATAAATTTCTAGTTATTATTATTGTTAAATAATAGTACAAATATGAATAATAAACCGTGTGTTAACCGTGCCTCAAGCGACCATAATGGTTGCTTTTGGGCAGTTTGTGCCTTAACCCTGCCTTAACCGTGCGTTAACCGTGCCTTAAGAACCGTGCCTTATGTAACCCTTGTGCATTAACCGTGCCTTAACCGTGCCTTAACCGTGCCTTAACCGTGCCTTAACCGTGCGTTAACCGTGCTTTGCCACACTACCGAATTGCCTACGAAGTGGCATCAAATCAAGATTGTTAAACAACATTTATTCATGACATGAATTGTTTGGTTGTTTAACGTATTGTTGCCAAAAATGATGACTAAAAATTCCGCAAATTTTATTTTCCGTTAGTTTGCACTAAACTATTAACTATGCATTAATTTGTGCGCTATATAATGCACTAAATTGAGCACTATATAATGTACGGGAAATTGGTAGATCACCGACCGGCTATAAGCCGGCTTATAGCCGGCTAAAATTTTTATAGCCGGCTATAAGCCGGCTTATAGCCGGTTAGTACTAAATTGAGTTCTCTATATGTATGCTGTAATGTACTTAACTATGCTCTATATTGCGCACTATGAGTAAGTTGTACAGTGTGCACTTGGAGGGGGATTTATTTAAAACATAAATGTGATACGAAAAGTTTGTTTTAGCTTTCAAAATACATGCGTAAATCGTCTTCAGCTGCCGTCTTAAGTGTGCACTTATTTGTTGAATTTTGCACTTAAACTTACCTGCCTTTTCCTCCGGAGTAAGTTCCTTCTTTTCTTTCTTTCCTCCTGAAATAGGTTATGCCTTGTTAATGTTGATTAAAAATCAAGTTAACTTTTACTCTGAGCTCTGGCAATAGTGATAGTAATATTAATATCATTGATAATATTAACATAAGTATAATCACTTAAAGTTTAGGGAATTTTGTTTTTACAGCTATGAATCAGTTTATAAAGCTATGAAGCATGAGCTGAATACATCTTTAATCAAAACGCTAATTATTGTACTTTAACTAAGTGATGGAAGTAAAATATTACCTCCTCCTGTCTTGTCCTTCTTCTTCTCCTTTTTGCCTGAAGGGATTGTGTGTATACTTTAATGTGTGTATGATGATTTTTTATCTGCAAAGCCAAAAAATCACATTTTCTCCCATAACTTTAAAAGGAAACATTTAGGGTGTTTTGTTGTTCACAACTCATATATAAATGTGCTAGTTGCATTTATTTTGCAAAGTCTCTAGCACATTCCTATCGAAATTTTTAAAAAAATCTGTAAATATTAAAATGAACAATATGCCTAAATTTGTTGCTTGGCTTTGAGGTGCAAAAGATCAACTCTCCAGTTAAATAAACACATTTTTGAGGGTATCAAAAACTGCGCCAGAATTCAGAAAACAATTTTGATGTCAAGCATGAAAACAATCCGATGTTCCTTGACGGACTTTTTGGTCAAAACAAGCCTGAAAAGTAAATTACCACTTTTTGAAATGTATAAAAACGCAGCCGTTTCAGATACGATATCAAAATTTTGCACACATCTTAAACTAGATATGAATAAACTTCGTGAAAAATTTCAGCTCGATATCACAAGAAATGATTAACTTATAGCCTCTCCATGAATCAAATTGTGCTTTTCCGAAAAGTGGAAATGCTCCATTGCAAAAATAGGAATCCTCAGCAAAATATTTTTGGCGTGGAAACGGTGCGCTAGATGGTCACTAAACTTTCTATGGGGTCATTTGGGCTGGACAGGTTTAAGAAACCGGAAACAGGTATCGCTTAATGGTCGTTTAAGGAGATCACTTAAGACCCAATGGTCGCTCAATTCAACGGGTCTTAAGCAATCTGTAAGGTTTGTGAGTTAAACCTGCTATCTCGAATATATTATCAAAATAAGCTGTGTCAGAACACTTAAATGGTGACCTCTAGGCCTCTAGGGTGACCATAAGTAATTCAAAACATGTAAGTTACTTAATATCAATAAAGTCTGTAAGTGCACATACTGTCTTCACCGTCCCCGTCGCCACCCTTGTTTTTTCCTTTTTTCTTGTCCGCTAGAAAATAATCAATAAAAGAAATATTGCTTCTTGGATTATGATATTGGCATCGAAAATGACTTATCTTTATTACTAATCAATTTTCTCTTCAAAATGTCTTTTATTAAGTACACATCATTCAAATTGGTGCGATGGACTCCTACTCTTTCTTTGTAGTCCTTACACGTTAAACAGTTAATTTATTAATTAATCTTTATTTATTAAAGTTCTGACCTTTGTTTTGAGTAACAGGTTCGTATGTAAATGTATACTCTGTCACCTCGGTAGGACCTTCATCTGTCCAATTAGTTACGATTAGTAGAAATCAGTCACAATTAATAACAATTAGTCAATTTAAGTCGCAATATAAGTCACGAATAGACACAAATTGGCACATGCCAAAGATTTTCAGTTTAATTAGGTTAGATTCATAGTTCGTATAAAATTTGTACATCACAAGATTCAAGAGTAACAACCCAAATGAAAACTTACCTTCGTCTTTTTTATTCTTAACTGAGAAGAAATCTATAAATAAATGAAACTTGCTGTTATACACGTAATGATTAATGAAAGCCTGTTACAAATATATCTACTATGATTTAAATACTGCTATTGAATTAACTGACTGCATTGTTGCTTATAGGCCACAAGCTGCCTGTATGAAAGAAACACAATTGCTCTAATAATTAATTGGTTAACTGGTTAACTGCTCTAATATTGTATCGCGTAAAACCATCAGTATTGTTATAATGATTAGTTAAAACTATCATTATAAATATAAATACCTATTCATCGGGTTAAATTTTAACCAATTAACTAATTAACCAGTTAGCCAATAAATTAATTAACTAATTAGCTAAGATGGCAAGTACGTACGGTACGTACCTTTAAAAATAGCTGTACGGTACGTACTTTTAAACTTGGGCTGAAAGGTACAATGCTTGCAATTGCAAAAAGATGCACAAAAACCACGTTCACACGACAACTTTCATGGAAGCTGAATTCGCTCATCGCTGCATTTCAATTTATACCATTAGATTTAGACTTAGAGCAGTTGTACAAGAATGTTCCAGAAGCAAGAAGGGTTGGACCATGTGACATTGGATTTGGCGCTTTGAATTATGTTGGTTGAAAAAGTTGGCAGATGTTGTTTACGCGATTTTTAGCGCATCCTCATTAATGTGTGAAACAAACTTTAGAGACTACAAATATCTTATTATATGAATATCTTATTATATGAATAAAAGAAGGCTGAGGCTGAAGCCTCAGCTTGCTGAAAAACTAGTGTTTATTTACTCCAATAAAAAATTAAAATGTGATACTGATTTTATCTGTCACTGTTCATTTTTATCTCTCACTGTTAATTTACTATCTTAATAATTCATGTTCCTCTTCGACTACTACCTCAAATAAAATTATGATAATACTAAAGGAACATTGCAAGTACTCCACTAACTTTGAAAAAAGTTTCATTTTTTCCCCAAAAAAGTCTCTACCCTATAGGGCCTGTACGGTACGTACCTTTAAAAGTAGCTGTACCGTACGTACTTAAAGCCCTGTACCGTACGTACTTGCCATCTTAGCTAATTAGCCAATTAACCAGTTAAATAATTTACTAATTAACTAATTAGCTACTTAACTGATTAACCGAGTAACTGATTAACTGATTAGTTGATCAACTGATTAACCAATTAACTAAATGGTTACATATCTAATCAGGTACTAATCATAATTACTTACTAATTAATAAAAACTCACCGGCTTTATCAGTCGGTTCTCCAGTATATGCCCATGTACTCGCAAAAGTAAACTCAGTAAACGGCGTCGTTTCTTCGGCGCCTGAAATCGCATATAAATCATACATAACTCACAATCACATTCAGGCCAGTGTGTTCACGATACCCAGAAAACCTTACTGGCTGGGGCCTAACTTTGAAAGTTAAAGAGCTAGAGACGTCCGGTTTTTTGCAAACTGTTCGTCTTGTAAAAGTAAAGTTTCCTCTCCAGGAGGAAAGTTAGGGACATTAAGTAGATTTCGAGTTATCTCAAAATCTCCAGAAAAGTCTCATTTTGGGACGATCAAAAGTTTGCAACTCTAACTTTGCGGATTTCTGTCGTCTGATTGGCTGAATTGTGTCACGTGCTGGCTGCTTGAAGATTGAAATGCGCCACGCGTGCAAATCACTTAATGTCGCGCACTAGCTCAAGCCATCTATTTAAATTAAACCACCTCTAGTATAACACGGCCAGCCAGTAAATGGTTAAGTTTGGTGGGTACATTGAAATTACGGTCTCATACATTTGTAGATTTATTTATGTATATACGACTCACATATAATCAATCACTTTTTTTAAAAACAAACTTTTACTCACCTTCTGTTAACAACTAACTAACTAATTGAAAACTTTATCGACTAAAACGTGGGTTACCGATCAATAATAATTCACAGTCAAATGTTTTAGCCGATCACAATGTCACCGCGACCAAATATTTTCATGCAGCGATCAAATTTTCCTGTAAAAGCTCATTTAGCTCCTCAACATCGCAAAGTGAACTAATTAATTAACTAATTGATATTCTAATAAATTAACTAATTAGATATTTGATTAGCTAATTAACAAACTAATTAGTGTGGCTGACCTGTGACCAATGTCTCTGGAAGAAGCAGCAACACGATGCAAGTCAGCACCACGCCCCTCATCATAAGACTACTCTGGAAATAGTTCAAATAATTGGGTTTTTCTGTTAAATATTATTATTATGGGATTATACCGTCATGAGACAATGACAATAAAGGAAAATAAGTTTCTACACCTATCCTAAATAATTTCAAGTGAGAATGGTTAATCGATTTTAAAAGCGAAGATTGCAAGCAACGTGGAAATCGTGAAAAGTTATTTACAGTTTATCGTGTTGTGATGAGGTAAGATTAGTTAGCGAGACCCAAAATTATAATAGGGCGTCATGAATAGCCTTAAGAATAGATTTGGATTCTGGTGGTGGACAAGTCTGTTTTGGCAAGTGACAGTGATTTTTGGGTTTTATTGGCCAATGCTCAAATGCTGGATGCTGATTGGTTAATAGCTGCCACGTGTTAGGAAAAATACAAATGTAGACACAATGTTTCGTCCTATTAGGACTCATCAGTATGGCTCAAATCATCAGGGTTGGTTTTGCCGATGGCGGGAATCGATCCAGCAACCTTACGATTACTGGCCCGGAACCACGCCACTGAGCCACCAAGCCCTTAATCTATATATATATATATATTTCTCTTTCTTTCTCTCTCTCTCTCTCTCTCTCTCTCTATATATATATATATATATATATAGAGAGAGAGAGAGAGAGAGAGAGAGAGAGAGAGAGAGAGAGAGAGAGAGAGAGAGAGAGAGAGAGAGAGAGAGAGAGAGAGAGAGAGAGAGAGAGAGAGAAAGAAAGAGAAATCTGTCATTTCGACACTCGATTCATTAAAATGAGCATTTAGCAGAAACGCGCTAAAACGCGCGTTTATAAATATAAATATTACATATCTTTACAAAATATTACATATCATGACATGACTTCATGGTTTAGTCAATTAGGACGTCACTTTTAATCTGAAACACCCGGGTTCTGGGCCCGCCAACGATAGTTTTATTTTCACTTTTTGGCAATTATGAATAACTAATAATACCTCAGTAATATGTACATAATACAATCAGCAAAGCACGATACAGTATGGTTTGGAATTGAACTTGAAGGTGAAACAAAATGATTATGAAATAGTCACTCTGCCAAAAACTTCATAGCCAATTTTTCCGCCTTAATCAGATTCCTGGTAACTTTTTATATTTTAGCCACTGGGCCATTTTGGTAGGAATTCGTATTCAAGCAGAATATGATGCCGATTACTGATTAGGCAAATTATGATGTCAGAGACTCAGATGTGCGGCGCGTGGCAGCTAATTTTTTAAACATTATTTTATAAATAGCTATTTTAAGTATTTACAATTTAACATACAATTTTTTTTAATGAAACTGCAAAATGTTATATTTTACGTTTTTTTTAGAATTTTGACAAACGGCGTATTTTCGACCGGTTTTTAGGCGTATTTAACATCGATGTCCGTCATAACCGAAGATACAGCTGATTAAAATGTAGCTCGCACTGAACGCAACGTAATTACCACAAAACCGATCAAAATGTCGCTCACAAATCTTTGCCCGTGCACGTTCAACGCTGTTAGTTTTACCATGGTTACTATGCAACCTTTTGATTTTTCATCATTTTGCACGTGGTCGTACAGACAAAAATAATCTTTCGAATTATAATTATGACTAGAAAGCCCGTGGTCACAGGGAGGAGGCTAATAGTATTCTTTAATAGTAAGTTTTTATCGCAAAAAATATCCACCACAACCGATGATACATCCGATTGAAATGTTGCTCGCACTAAACACAACATAATATTAATATGACTGATGACAACAAAATCGATAAAAATGTCGCTCACAAATCTTTGCACGTGCGCATTCAACACCGTTAACATGGTTACTTTGCAAATTCTTATTTTTCGTATAATTTGCACGTGGGCGGTCGTACAGACAGACAAACAAAAAGAATCTTTAGAATTGTAAGTTAGTTAACGAATTGAATAAAACGATGCATAAAAATAAATAAAATCAAATAATTATTAATAACTACCCCATGAATTGTTAAATTAGAGCTTTAAAAATTAAAACCATCATTAATTGTTAACTGGAGAAACGTATCCTAAAACTTAAATACTATTCACAACTGCAGTTGTTTAGCTAAATCAATTGAATCATTTAACTGATTAGAATATGAGTTGCAGATGATGTAAGTGTTGCGAAAGATTTTGATGAACTAGCTAAGCTATGGTCATTAATATGACAATGCTATCGAAGTCCAGCCGACACCGCTTTTTTCGGAAAAGAAAATAACTAAAAGAAGGACTTCACATGTTTCATTCGCTATCTTATAACTTCTAAAAATAGCTAAATTTATTTAAAGAGCAACACGCCTGTGATTGCACTTCACGAGGCTGTGATGTGATAATGAAATCGAATTAAATTTATTAAATTGGGTAGTTTTTACAAGTATGTTCTTTAGTGACTTTACCGAATATTTGCAAAGTGTTGGTGGATTCTTCCAAAATAGATAATGACTAAAGATTTTTAAAAACTCAATTAATTCAAAGAATTGCATCAAATTAATTTCAGGGGTAAAAATTCAATTATGTAAAACTTAAACCCAAAAAGGGGACTGAAATATTTGAAACATGTTATTAACTTGAAGCATAAACTCCAAAGATGCAGGAAGGTAATATTATTAAAGACTCATGACTATAATATATTGATACCTCTAGAGGTTTCAGGGGCTTTATTTCAGGGACATAATTAGTTTTTTTTCGCGTATTGCAGCTACAATTAACCTTAAAAACCCGACTAAAATTGAGTTAGAGATCTGAAATTTTGCAGGGCGTCTAGATGTATAGACCAAATCAACTGTAAAAACGTTTCAAGTTTCAGGAGTATCGGGAAGTGGGTTTTCTGGAACCCCTGTTTTACAACAGATTGTCGTGAATTATATTTATCTATCAATGTGTGTATAGACGCTTCGGTAGTCTATTGTAGCCTATATTCAAGTAAGTATCCGTAGATTCAAAAATATAAAAGATACTGTCATATCGGACCACAGGTCTTGAAGATAATTGTTTAGACTTCAGTTTAAATTGAATTAAAAATGATTTAACGTCATGATCACCACTTGATGACGTTATTAAATTAACCGTTTTTAAAACTCGATTTTTGACAAAGTAACAACTTTTCAAATAAATTTTATACCATTACGGAATAATTTTATTCAAAATTTGAGGAAGAAATGAGTTAGATAGTTGCATAATCATAGTTGATCAAGCATTCTGCTCTGCAAATCTACTGGAAAGTTTTCTTAGTTTGCTCCTTCATAAAGGTATTTGCTATTGAAGTTATACTTATTATAGTGGCAGTGCTTTTTTGAAGAATAATTTCATAAAAGCAGGCATTTTGTGATTTAGTATTCTCTGGTGTTGGGCCATCCCTTGGGTTGTGGAGCTCAGTTCTGCTTCCTATGGATCTATGTGTGCATTAGGCTAGTTTAAAAGTTAAAAATCAAAACGTGGCACCCCCTGTTGGCGCCCCCTCCCATTTTGGTGCCCATCCCTAAAATTGAACAAATTAGGTGATTTTAGAGGATACGCCGGTAAAATCTTTAAAAAACTAGAGCAAAACGCCCAGTTTTGCTAGTACTTTAATTAAGTTTTCGAAATTGTCCCACATTCAAACGACGATTTGGCGCCCCCCCCCCCCCTCTCCCTCCACAACGGGGCCCTTCGTTACGACACTGGTGGGGACACGCCCAAATTGATAAAAAATTGCTAAAATCACTGAAAATTGCTTTTTTCACGATTTTTATCAACTTTGGAGTACCGTTGTAATGTAATTTTTTATTGAAATCTTCTGAAACTTTGTATGCTTATCAAACTATATATAAAATAACAACATACAAAAATTTACAGTGATTCAAAATTGGATGCGCACGCAACGTCCGCTTAAAGTTGGCACGTTTGAAAGGTGAGAATTTTGCTCATTCGTGATTTCGATTAGATTCTGCTTTCCCATGAGCATAACAGTTAAATGGCATTATATTTGAATTTAATGCCAACTTGAATGAGTAAAAAGTGGCATATTCAGTCAGTTATCGACAGATATGCTAACCTAAACACAAGGAAATGATTTCAAAGGTAAAAATTCGAAATCATTGAAATTACCTCTTTATTAATGAAGTTATCAGTTTATATTTCGACTTTGTGAAGTACCCTGACATTAATCAAAAAGAGATGATATTTGACACTTTCCAAACGGAAGTGTCTGGGTAACAGCGTTTGGTTATGATGGTTCTGATGGTTGTTAGGGATAGTTCTTCCAGAGCAGTACTAAATTAGCAGTAGAAACCAAATTTTTCAAACATGGACCATCAATAAAAGGGCTGGTAAAGTAGGAAGAGTACAATAGGGTTTATGCTGCTGTAACAATATGTTTGGGGAAAGGAAACATCGGCGGTAAATCGGGGCGCGGTAATTCGGGGCTTTGATTTATTTTACTACCTATTACTTACATTAAATACAACGTTCATTCAATTTTAGCAATTTTTATAGTTTTTAACCTTGTCCACGATCACAATATCAGCCACTCAAGTTTTATTTTTGTGAGTTCTTCTTTAAAATTCCAGAAGCCATGACCGTTGTAGAATATGATAGTAGCCACAACAATTAGCGATGTATAAACACAGTATACAACTATACCTCGCTAACAAGTTCGCCCACAGAACCATCGGACAACATCTTGGAACACACTGGCCGGCTAGAAGTCCTGACCTTACACCGTGTGACTTCTTCCTGTGGGGGTGGGTGAAGGACCAACTTTATAAGAGATATCCTATTGAAAACATCACGCAGCTAAAGCACCACCTGATCGACATCATCCATAATATGGACCCAGCGTTTGCAATGAACACTTGTCGGAGTGTAAAGAAGCGGTGCCGCAAGGTGATTGCAGCTGGGGGACGACAATTTGAACATTTTAATTGAAATTATTGAATATTTTTTGTGTGGGAATTTTGATTAGTTGATTCCATTTATCCTAAAACTTGGTGTTTTCCTGTCTAGCAAAGTCATTATCGGTATCCAATCAATCATGATCAGGTCGTCATCTCCTCAGTATGTTTGGTAACGCCTAATGAACCTCGTTATACACGCTATAATTACGCCTTACTCTTGATTAGATTGAGTTGAACAATGAACTTTAAACTTTGGGAAAGGTTTTAAATAATTAAGCCAAATGTGTGCAAAAAATTTTGAGTTCTTAGCTTAAAGAGTTAAAGCGTTCTCATTTTATGAAGACAATAGTGAAAAAGAGGGAGTGTCACGCCACGCCCACTGTAATTAGGCATGGCTTTCGAAACTTTCAGGAAATCTAATTTTGACCCATACCTATAATCTCTGAAATTTTGGTGCAATTTGGAGACGAACTACGTTAGTTATTAAAGGTTTGCGTGTGGGTAGTTACTTTTGGGCCACCCTGTATAATAGTAATACACAACAGTTTAGCCTTAGCTGTTAAAGTGATACTTTGATAGATCTGCCTATTCTACTAACGTACTCTCGCAGTAGAATAGGCAGAAATGGCAATTTAGTTCATCTCTCCGGGGGCTATGAAAAATAGAGGCTTTTTCGCGGTTTCCTTGACCGAAATTTCACGGTTTTGACTAATTTTCGATCAGTGAGGTCAGTGTGAGTGGCATAAAACGCAATTAATGTATAGGAAAATTTGACCAAAACCCATATCATGGGTAGAGTGTACCGCTGCCAGTGTCTCTCTTTTCCAAACAAAAGGAAATGATATTAATTTGAATAACCGTCCGCAAATGCAAATTGATACCGAGAATGAAATCGGTCGCTCGCTTTTTCCATTCGATCACGGCTTATATTATTACAAATTGTAATAAAGCTTATTGATTGGAAAAAGCGAGCGACCGATTTCATTCTCGGTATCAATTTGCATTTGCGGACGGTTATTCAAATTAATATCATTTCCTTTTGTTTGGAAAAGAGAGACACTGGCAGCGGTACACTCTACCCATGATATGGGTTTTGGTCAAATATCATCTCTTTTTGATTATAATGTCAGGATAATTTACAAAGCCGAAATGTAAACTCATAACTTCATTCATATTTATATTAATAAATAGGAGGTAATTTCATCGATTTCGAAATTTTACCTGACTGAATATGGCACTTTTTACTCATTCAAGTTGGCATTAAATTCATATATAATGCCATTTAAATATCGTGGGAAAGCAGAATTTATTCGAAATCACGAATGAGCAAAATTCTCACCTTTCGCACGTGCAAACTTTGAGCGGACGTTGCGTGCGCATACAATATTGAATCACCGTAAATTTTTGCATAGCAGTATTTTATATATAGTTTAATAAGCATGCAAAGTTTCAGAAGATTTCATATAGAACTTGGATCACAACGGGACTCCAAAGTTGATAAAAATGGTGAAAACAGCAATTTTCAGTAATTTTAGCAATTTTCTATCAATTTGGGCGTGTCCCCACGTGTGCAACTTTTCGATTTCCAACTTTAAAACTATCCTATAACACAATTTAGACCTTTAAAAAGCAAAATTAAGCTCCACAACTCAAGGGATGGCCCAACACCAAAGAATACTAATTCACAACTTTTGTGTTTTTATAAAATTATTCTTCAAAAAAGCACTTACTTCAATAGCGAATATCTTTATGAAGGAGCAAAGTAAGAAACTTTTCCGGTAGATTTTCAGAATGCTTGAACAATTATCTAAGATGAAAATGTCCTCAGATTTTGAATAAAATTACTCCTTAATGGTTTAAAATCGATTTGAAAAGTTATTACTTTGTCAAAAATCAAGTTTTAAAAACACCTAATTTGATAACGTCATCAAGTGATGATGATGAAGATAAATTATTTTTTGATATAATGTAAACTAAAGTATAAACAATTATCTTTAAAACCTGTGGTTCGAAATGACTGTATCTTTTATACTATTGGATCTACAGACACTTAAATGTAGGCTATAATTGACTATAATTGACTGCAAAAGCGTCTATACTATACTTCACGACAATCTGTTGTAAAACAGGGGTTCCAGAAAACCCACTTCCCGATACTCCTGAAACATGAAATTTTTTTTGCAGTCGATTTGGACAAGGTCTAGACGCCCTGCAAAGTTTCAGATCTCTAACTCAATTTTAACATGGTTTTTAAGGCACCTGAATATGGCGATTTTGGGTTTTTTACCTAATTTCGTATAACATGCTGGCGCGTATTTTGCGCAAATTTCTTAAAAACCTCCACATAACTATTTCTTATTCCTGTCATCTTTAACATTGAATTAGAATGTTTTGAACTTAAATATACCTGCTGAACTACTTTCGATGAGTCTTAATGCCTGGAAAACAATAAAGGGGATATACTAGTATAGGGGTAAATAGTATTGTGAATATAAGGGCGACGGTAATGCTTACCAGCATTGTGATTATGAAAATGTCCTACTGGTAGAAAACATTTAGATTTTACCGTCTAGACTCCATTTTTCTTAATGATCAATAATTGAGTTCACTGTGACTTCACTTCCGGAGAAATCTTTGATGAAATTAATTAGTTAATTGCATTTCTGAAACAACAAAAAAAAACACTTTTGATAATGAAAAATCAGAACTAATAAATCGAAAAGTATAACTGTAAGTGTATAATGTATAATGTATAACTGTAGGATCACGTGATGAAAGTACATTTTGTTAAAATGTATACAAGTTAATTTTAGGTTGCAGTTTTATCAGTATGATAACAGTATTAATATTTAATGTAATTCTTAGTATTTAATTATTCTTGCAAATTGTTTACTTTTTAAATGTATTAATAGATTGGAATTCTAATAAGGAAGTGAACCATATTTGTTTTGACACGTGACAGTGGTTTTGATAGGTCAACACTGATATCTTATTGTTTAAAAGCTGGCACGTGTCAGATAAAATCAGGTTCACCTGCTCACTAGTATTCGGGTTTGTGAATCATGTCTGAACAAGTAAACAAACTCAAATCCCCATGCATTGACTAATTATACAAGGTTCCAACAATAACACGCCTTACCGCCTTATCCACCTTATAGCTACATGTTCAAACAATCCAAACTCAAACTCAGAACAGTTTATTGTCCGTATCAGCTACCGCGAACATTTCCCTCCGCAGTCAGACGTTATTCCCTCTCCAAGCTCCATCTCCGCTGGATCAAAAGAGAAAGAATTCTCACAACTCATGTCCGAGAAGGCAAATCTTTTTATTTTACCGTATATATCAGCGCATTCTCCTCGGAGATCTTGTTTGTACAAGACTTCTCCGTCGATCTTGATTCGCAGAAATCCGTTTTTCAGGGACAATGACCATACAGTATGTCCGCCTTTGGCTGTAGCTTTCTTTAAAGCTGGAGGTGTTTGGCAGGCGATGCACCCGGTGAGGTAGATTCCGGAGAGACTCCACTGGAGTCTGCCGACAACTTTTCCGTCCTCTTCATACAGTACAATGGTACTGAACGTCTTCCGTTTGATGTGAGAGTGTACTTCGACCCCTGATTGAGAGTTGATTAGATCCTGCTTTACTGTACAGTCCATGTTAGAGCAGTAGCCACACTCAGGAGTCCAGCAGTCACAGGTCGGATATGGTTCTGAAATGATATTACGTAAAGTTTTGTAAAGGATAATATTTGTAAAGGAGCGCCCTACAACTTCAGGGGAGGTCGACAAATTTAATTTTTTGAGATCCACTAATTTTGTTCACCTGTTACTTTAGGTCCTTCGGTAGATACGACCGTGATGAACGAAGTGGTTATAGTTGCACCTGAAATGTAAACTCGTTGAACGAAATATTTTGTAATTACCAAATCACTTGAATAATGGAATGTACACTAAATGATCTTTCTTTCTTTTATTTTTTAAATAAATAATCTTACATCTGAATTTAAAAAAATATTATAAGAATTATTATAAGGATAAGAAGTTTTAGTGTTATCCAGTTTATGTACCATTCTTATTCGTAAGGAAGTTTTCACGTATTACATACTCCTAGGAGAGTAGTGGATGGGTTTGGAAAAGTTTAATATCCACTCAATAGCTAGTGGCTAACGGATGTAATATGTTAACGATCCCTAGATATGTCAAACTGAGTTCTTACTTTCAGTTATAATCTCATTATTAGGACCAATCTTCTTCTTTCTGATTCTTCCTAGGCCTCTGTACCGTCTCTTACCACCACCTTCTTTATCACCTTCTTCATCGGGTTTATCTGTAAGTAGGTGGTAATTACTTAATTAATTACTTAATTATAATTAATTAATTTATTATATTTAATTAATGACTTATAATGGAGAGGTTAATTATCAAAGTATTGTGGCTGACTGGCTGTCCCAATTAACACACGATACTTTCAATCCAATAATCTATGAGCATTGAACAATTACTTGCAATGTGTGACTCGGACTATGGTCGTGTCAATAACCTTTTCTCTTTTTCTTTTAATAACTTTAGGTAACAGACATACAATTTAAGTATGTAGGCTGCTACGGAGAGGAGACTGTCTCACATTTTCTAGGACAGTGTCCGGCTTTTGCCCAAATAAGAGGTCAATATATTTCCAGGACTATTACCTCACCGTCAATGACATATTCGACAACCAACACATCTCCACTATTGTCAACTTCGCAAAACGCACCAAACGCTTAATTGTGCCAAAGGAGCTGGACCAGACTGGTGTGACATAGCGACTACACACATGTCGTCTTATTTCACCTTACTCTTCCACACCCAGCTGCCACTTAATCGTTCATACACGACACATCTTACACCATCATCTTACCATCATCCTACATTACACATTCTGATTCCCCCGGCATCCCCCATAGGACTGCCATACCCCAGAGGTAGGCAAAGCATCCACATGCTATCCTCTCGTGGGCCACCAGGCTCACTGGCCCAGCGTCTCTTTTTTTATATATATAAATTTGTTTTAAATGTAGGCTGCTGTGAGCCTCTATTTATCAATTAATTAATTTATTTATTTATTTATTTATTTATTTATCAATCACCGGATGTAATCAAGTGAGTAGTGATTATTAGCTGAAACTGTCGGTGAGCAATTAGCAGCAGCACTGCAGAGGACTGACTATTATTAAAATTACTCAACATTCAAGACTCCTAGTCGTATTTTATTTGTAGTACTACTAACCTTTTCCTGTCCGGATGACTTTTTTTCCTTTTCCTTTTCCCTTTCGCTTCTTTTTAGTTACTTTGACCTCAACAACAACTTCTCCATCCGGATCTGGTGTCATTCATTTAATTGCATGTGGAGAGACCGACTAGAATATCTAGCTCTCTATAGATTTACTTGAAACGTAAACGCGACTTTTTATGTATTAGAGTATTAGAACTGACTAGAAATAAATCGGCCAAAGTGATGCCGATATTACTTGTTTAAGTTACTATCAATATTGCTTTTGAATCGTTAACATTAGCATCCAATTTGTTACACCCCAAACTATTACCCCCACGTCATTTGAAACATAATTTATCACAAATTGTCAGCAGTCCGAATTATGAGCATCAGGGAAAGTTTTTGCTAAAATATGCGCCATCCAAATTAGTAACGTTTGCAAACCTCCACATTTCTCCGCGGACTCGTCCGATTTATCATGACATTGTGCCTTATCATCACACACTCTGTTTGAAGCAATACATTGTAGACCGTCATCACATTTCTCTTTTTTATCTAGACATTCATATCCTGAAATTATGTTAAATTAAATAATAATAAGTATTGATTAATTAATGCTACGATAGATTGTTTAATTAACTGGTCTCCAGTTATGCGGTTTGTTGCAAAAAGGGTTGATCACAGAAGTTTTTGCGTTTCATGAAGAAAAAAATTGAGCTGATCCTATAAATCAATAAATAACATGTTAGATAAATAAATAAAACAATTTGTACATAAATAAATAAAATAATTTATCAAACCCGCACAGAATCCCGGTTCCTCATCAGAACCATCATCGCAGTCACTCTTGCCATCACATAATCGCCAATTAGCGTTACACTTGGTGCCGTCCCCACACTTAGTTTGATAACCCGGACAAGTGAAACCTGAACAATGTTAGATTATAACATAAATTAATTTATAATTATAAATGATGATATAAATTAATATAGTGTTTATTATTGTAGTATTAGTATTGTAGTCTGGTCTGATAAAGGAAAGGTGGTCATATTAGTAGAGTTGACAGTTGGTGACGAGAGTAACTTTAGTGACCAAGTAGAACGTAAACAAGCACGTTACAACAGAGAGCTTATTCCTGGGCTGCATGGCAGTGGGTGGAAAGCTCAGCTTTTTACGGTAGAGGTTGGGTGTAGAGGCTTCTGGCATCATACCTTACCAGCCCTACTAAACTACTTTGGTGTTACAAAGAGAGTAAAGAAAGCAGTGTTCCAAGAGGCGGCTTTGGTTGCTCTCAGATGTTCCTATGCAATCTGGTTAGCAAGAGAAAACAAGAAGTGGAGTCCCTGCTACAACATCGCACAAAGACCCACTGTTCTACCATCAACTGAGTGAGCTGAGTGTTGGGCCCTTAAAACATTGTTTAAAGCCACACCTGGAATCTCAAGTACCAGGATCAGTGATGGAAGCTAAGCAGATACATAGATGGAGTTGCTATCGAAAGATATAGAACTCAGGTATCCAACATCGTACCTTGATTATATTGTAGTATTTTCTCACAATGGAAATGGACATGGCGCCTTGCAGGGAGGCGAGTTTCACTGTTGACAGCGGGAAAGACAGCTGACTCTGACGAAAGTGTTAGTGACTCTTGGGAAAGACCGAGTGACGCCTGGGAAAGACTGGTGACATCTGGAAAGACTGATGACCCCTGCGAAAGTGCAGAGTTTAGCAATAGGCTTAGTAGGCCCCCGCTTTACAGAAAGCAATCACTACAAAACAATATACAGATAAATGCCTCAAGACCTCCGATCAGGTGGGGAGCATCAAAGGTCAACCCGGATTAACTGATGAAGGACCTTTGAGAAAGGACGACAATATTTGTCAATGGTGCAAGCGCGAGTTCAAACAAGTCGCAAAACATCTGTGGAGATGTAAGATGAGACCGGCGGAGCTCATAACCGAGCCTCAGGCGAGGGGAGATGACATCCGTAATAATTTGTCGGAGCAGGGAACAAGCCAGGTTTACAACCACAGCGCAGAAACGGGACCTGCAAGCTCTGATATACAGTTCCACTTTAAAGACTTAGAACCGCCTGCCATAGTGATGGAGGTCACAAAGAAACTTAAACTACCAACAGCAGCAGAGAAGGGAGTATGGAAGGGAATTGATGAAGACCTGATTGTTTTGGTGAACAATGTAGCAGCAGAGGACGTGGAGTCCCGACTGGAGAAGGTAGAAAAGCTGGTATACAGCTATCTGGAAAGTAGATTCGGTGAAGAGGAAGCGAAGAAACCTCGTGTTCCCCAGAAGGAAAAGGAGAACAAGGAGACAAAAGTTATTCGCTTGGCCAAGAGAGAGGCTAAGAGAAACAAGAAAGATGCTAGGAGAAGCAATGATCAGAATATGTTGGCTCAAGCTAAGACTGAGTACCTGAGACTCGTGCGCTTACATAACAAAAGCCGTCGTAATGAGCTCAGGAAGAAGAAGAATAAGGAGAGCAAAAAGGAACAGTCACAGTTTAAACAAAACCCATTTCAATTTGGAAGGAAACTGCTTGACGGGGATAAGAAGAACAAACCCCCTAATTTCTCCAAGGAAGTGGCTGACAGATTCTTTAAGAATGAGTACTGTGATAAGGAGAGAAGTGCTCTATATGTAAAGCTTAAAGGACTGCCCGATGCCCCAGTACCAAAGACTGCATTTGAGATGGAGAGATTGGACTGGGATGAGTTTCAAACGAAGCTGAAAAGCCGTAGAAACAAATCATCACCTGGTCCGAATGGAGTCCCATATCTGGTATATAAGAGATGTCCCAGAATGGCGAAAGCAGTATTCAAATTGCTGGATTCTCTATGGGAAAGCCAGAGAGTCCCGCTGCAATGGCGAGTAGGTGAAGCCATTCTGATAGCAAAAACTGAGGATTTAGATGACCCTAGTAAGTTCAGAAACATCACTAAAACAAACACTAGTGGAAAGTTGCAGATGGGATTACTAGCGGACAGAATGCTAGAGTATATGGTCAGTAATAGCTACATAGACACGTCTATCCAGAAAGGATTCCTGCGTAAGACACCAGGTTGCCTCGAGCATACTCAGGCTCTGATGGAAGAGTTGAAGGATGCCAAATCTAATAGACGACAGATCTTTGCAGTTTGGGTGGACCTAATGAACGCCTACGGCCGGGTTCCCCACAACTTGATAATATATGCTCTAAGACATTATAAGTTCCCAAACTGGCTCATAGAATATATGTTTAAGTACTATGATGAGCTGATTGTGAGAGTGGTGACAAAGGACTGGAAAACAAACTGGTTCTTTTATATGTTAGGTCTTTTTCAGGGCGACCCTCTATCGGTTGTACTGTTCTTAATAGTTTTCAACCTACTATTGGATCTCCTGAAAAATCAAAGCGACTTGGGTTACAAGCCGTCTTTTAGTTCTAGCAGCACGTCAAGTCGTGCTTTTGCTGACGACCTAACTCTGATGTCTCCCAGGCTGGAAAAGATGAAGAAGCTAATAGATGTGATGGAAAGATTTCTTACTTGGTCAAGGAAAATGAAAGCCAAGCCGAGTAAATGCGTATCCCTGGGGATGAAGGTTATAGATGGAAGGTATGTGTCCTATGACCCTGAAATTTTCATAGATGGAGCTCAAATCCAGTTTATTGGAAATACACCGATGAAGTTTCTTGGCCATTGGATATATGTGGATCTGGGCCTCAAAGATACCAAGAAGCTGATAGAAGACAAACTGATTACACTGTTTCAGGCAGTGGACGGATCAGGCCTTAATGGAGTGATGAAATGCTGGATTTACAACAACCTGCTAACCAGCAAGCTCTCCTGGGACCTGATGATCTACAATCTCCCGGTTAGTTTTGTCAAAGATCTTGAAGCAATATGTACGAAGTATCTGAAGAAATGGCTAGGTGTAACAAAGACAATTACTGTCAGTGTGCTTTACAGAAATAAGGATTGCTTTGGATTGAATCTTAAAAGACTATTGGACTTATACAAGTTCCTTCAGGTGTCCAAAGGTTACTCTCTAAAGAACAGCAAGGATCCTAAAGTTAAGGAGGTCTACGAGCACAGGGCCAAGAAACAAGAAGGGAGCAGTCGGTGGGGTTACACTAATGAGCTGAGTGCTAGAGAAAGAGATCTCTACTTCAGAGAGTTAGTAGGGGTAACAGTGCAAGGCAGGATGGGCTTGGGATCCAAGAGGAGTGTATCCAGTGAAAAGGAAAAACTGAAAGAACTGGTATCCCACATCTCAGAGCAGGATATCCTGTTGACACTGGTAGACAAGGGAGTTCAAGGACAATTCTTAACATGGGAAAACACCATGCAGCTAGACCTAGGTTGGAACAACCTTATTTACAACTACAAGATGAGCCCTGCTCTTCTTAAGTTCCACCTCAATGCAACCCATGACGTTGCAAATACTCCAGCAAACATGAGCCTGTGGAACTATGCTGACACAGGACACTGTCCACTTTGCGGATGGAGACACTGCAACATTAAACACATTTTGGTAGCTTGCAACTTCTCGCTAAACAACAAACGATACAATTGGAGGCATGACAACGTGCTGCGGGTCATTGCGAAATCCCTACTGGATCAAATCGAGAAGTTCAACAACAAAGATTTTAAACTTGAAGTTCAGGACTGGACAGGCTTCAAGTCATCTACCAGCTGTTACCAAAAACCGAAGACGAAGATGAAAAGAGAGAGCCCTTTTGAGAAAGACCAAGATTGGCAGATTATCTGGGACGAAGATGACCTCCCAGCACAGTTCCCCCAGCACATCTACGGAACTGCAGAACGTCCCGATATTGTAGTCTGGTCTGATAAAGGAAAGGTGGTCATATTAGTAGAGTTGACAGTTGGTGACGAGAGTAACTTTAGTGACCAAGTAGAACGTAAACAAGCACGTTACAACAGAGAGCTTATTCCTGGGCTGCATGGCAGTGGGTGGAAAGCTCAGCTTTTTACGGTAGAGGTTGGGTGTAGAGGCTTCTGGCATCATACCTTACCAGCCCTACTAAACTACTTTGGTGTTACAAAGAGAGTAAAGAAAGCAGTGTTCCAAGAGGCGGCTTTGGTTGCTCTCAGATGTTCCTATGCAATCTGGTTAGCAAGAGAAAACAAGAAGTGGAGTCCCTGCTACAACATCGCACAAAGACCCACTGTTCTACCATCAACTGAGTGAGCTGAGTGTTGGGCCCTTAAAACATTGTTTAAAGCCACACCTGGAATCTCAAGTACCAGGATCAGTGATGGAAGCTAAGCAGATACATAGATGGAGTTGCTATCGAAAGATATAGAACTCAGGTATCCAACATCGTACCTTGATTATATTGTAGTATTTTCTCACAATGGAAATGGACATGGCGCCTTGCAGGGAGGCGAGTTTCACTGTTGACAGCGGGAAAGACAGCTGACTCTGACGAAAGTGTTAGTGACTCTTGGGAAAGACCGAGTGACGCCTGGGAAAGACTGGTGACATCTGGAAAGACTGATGACCCCTGCGAAAGTGCAGAGTTTAGCAATAGGCTTAGTAGGCCCCCGCTTTACAGAAAGCAATCACTACAAAACAATATACAGATAAATGCCTCAAGACCTCCGATCAGGTGGGGAGCATCAAAGGTCAACCCGGATTAACTGATGAAGGACCTTTGAGAAAGGACGACAATATTTGTCAATGGTGCAAGCGCGAGTTCAAACAAGTCGCAAAACATCTGTGGAGATGTAAGATGAGACCGGCGGAGCTCATAACCGAGCCTCAGGTGAGGGGAGATGACATCCGTAATAATTTGTCGGAGCAGGGAACAAGCCAGGTTTACAACCACAGCGCAGAAACGGGACCTGCAAGCTCTGATATACAGTTCCACTTTAAAGACTTAGAACCGCCTGCCATAGTGATGGAGGTCACAAAGAAACTTAAACTACCAACAGCAGCAGAGAAGGGAGTATGGAAGGGAATTGATGAAGACCTGATTGTTTTGGTGAACAATGTAGCAGCAGAGGACGTGGAGTCCCGACTGGAGAAGGTAGAAAAGCTGGTATACAGCTATCTGGAAAGCAGATTCGGTGAAGAGGAAGCGAAGAAACCTCGTGTTCCCCAGAAGGAAAAGGAGAACAAGGAGACAAAAGTTATTCGCTTGGCCAAGAGAGAGGCTAAGAGAAACAAGAAAGATGCTAGGAGAAGCAATGATCAGAATATGTTGGCTCAAGCTAAGACTGAGTACCTGAGACTCGTGCGCTTACACAACAAAAGCCGTCGTAATGAGCTCAGGAAGAAGAAGAATAAGGAGAGCAAAAAGGAACAGTCACAGTTTAAACAAAACCCATTTCAATTTGGAAGGAAACTGCTGGACGGGGATAAGAAGAACAAACCCCCTAATTTCTCCAAGGAAGTGGCTGACAGATTCTTTAAGAATGAGTACTGTGATAAGGAGAGAAGTGCTCTATATGTAAAGCTTAAAGGACTGCCCGATGCCCCAGTACCAAAGACTGCATTTGAGATGGAGAGATTGGACTGGGATGAGTTTCAAACGAAGCTGAAAAGCCGTAGAAATAAATCATCACCTGGTCCGAATGGAGTCCCATATCTGGTATATAAGAGATGTCCCAGAATGGCGAAAGCAGTATTCAAATTGCTGGATTCTCTATGGGAAAGCCAGAGAGTCCCGCTGCAATGGCGAGTAGGTGAAGCCATTCTGATAGCAAAAACTGAGGATTTAGATGACCCTAGTAAGTTCAGAAACATCACTAAAACAAACACTAGTGGAAGTTGCAGATGGGATTACTAGCGGACAGAATGCTAGAGTATATGGTCAGTAATAGCTACATAGACACGTCTATCCAGAAAGGATTCCTGCGTAAGACACCAGGTTGCCTCGAGCATACTCAGGCTCTGATGGAAGAGTTGAAGGATGCCAAATCTAATAGACGACAGATCTTTGCAGTTTGGGTGGACCTAATGAACGCCTACGGCCGGGTTCCCCACAACTTGATAATATATGCTCTAAGACATTATAAGTTCCCAAACTGGCTCATAGAATATATGTTTAAGTACTATGATGAGCTGATTGTGAGAGTGGTGACAAAGGACTGGAAAACAAACTGGTTCTTTTATATGTTAGGTCTTTTTCAGGGCGACCCTCTATCGGTTGTACTGTTCTTAATAGTTTTCAACCTACTATTGGATCTCCTGAAAAATCAAAGCGACTTGGGTTACAAGCCGTCTTTTAGTTCTAGCAGCACGTCAAGTCGTGCTTTTGCTGACGACCTAACTCTGATGTCTCCCAGGCTGGAAAAGATGAAGAAGCTAATAGATGTGATGGAAAGATTTCTTACTTGGTCAAGGAAAATGAAAGCCAAGCCGAGTAAATGCGTATCCCTGGGGATGAAGGTTATAGATGGAAGGTATGTGTCCTATGACCCTGAAATTTTCATAGATGGAGCTCAAATCCAGTTTATTGGAAATACACCGATGAAGTTTCTTGGCCATTGGATATATGTGGATCTGGGCCTCAAAGATACCAAGAAGCTGATAGAAGACAAACTGATTACACTGTTTCAGGCAGTGGACGGATCAGGCCTTAATGGAGTGATGAAATGCTGGATTTACAACAACCTCCTAACCAGCAAGCTCTCCTGGGACCTGATGATCTACAATCTCCCGGTTAGTTTTGTCAAAGATCTTGAAGCAATATGTACGAAGTATCTGAAGAAATGGCTAGGTGTAACAAAGACAATTACTGTCAGTGTGCTTTACAGAAATAAGGATTGCTTTGGATTGAATCTTAAAAGACTATCGGACTTATACAAGTTCCTTCAGGTGTCCAAAGGTTACTCTCTAAAGAACAGCAAGGATCCTAAAGTTAAGGAGGTCTACGAGCACAGGGCCAAGAAACAAGAAGGGAGCAGTCGGTGGGGTTACACTAATGAGCTGAGTGCTAGAGAAAGAGATCTCTACTTCAGAGAGTTAGTAGGGGTAACAGTGCAAGGCAGGATGGGCTTGGGATCCAAGAGGAGTGTAGCCAGTGAAAAGGAAAAACTGAAAGAACTGGTATCCCACATCTCAGAGCAGGATATCCTGTTGACACTGGTAGACAAGGGAGTTCAAGGACAATTCTTAACATGGGAAAACACCATGCAGCTAGACCTAGGTTGGAACAACCTTATTTACAACTACAAGATGAGCCCTGCTCTTCTTAAGTTCCACCTCAATGCAACCCATGACGTTGCAAATACTCCAGCAAACATGAGCCTGTGGAACTATGCTGACACAGGACACTGTCCACTTTGCGGATGGAGACACTGCAACATTAAGCACATTTTGGTAGCTTGCAACTTCTCGCTGAACAACAAACGATACAATTGGAGGCATGACAACGTGCTGCGGGTCATTGCGAAATCCCTACTGGATCAAATCGAGAAGTTCAACAACAAAGATTTTAAACTTGAAGTTCAGGACTGGACAGGCTTCAAGTCATCTAGCAGCTGTTACCAAAAACCGAAGACGAAGATGAAAAGAGAGAGCCCTTTTGAGAAAGACCAAGATTGGCAGATTATCTGGGACGAAGATGACCTCCCAGCACAGTTCCCCCAGCACATCTACGGAACTGCAGAACGTCCCGATATTGTAGTCTGGTCTGATAAAGGAAAGGTGGTCATATTAGTAGAGTTGACAGTTGGTGACGAGAGTAACTTTAGTGACCAAGTAGAACGTAAACAAGCACGTTACAACAGAGAGCTTATTCCTGGGCTGCATGGCAGTGGGTGGAAAGCTCAGCTTTTTACGGTAGAGGTTGGGTGTAGAGGCTTCTGGCATCATACCTTACCAGCCCTACTAAACTACTTTGGTGTTACAAAGAGAGTAAAGAAAGCAGTGTTCCAAGAGGCGGCTTTGGTTGCTCTCAGATGTTCCTATGCAATCTGGTTAGCAAGAGAAAACAAGAAGTGGAGTCCCTGCTACAACATCGCACAAAGACCCACTGTTCTACCATCAACTGAGTGAGCTGAGTGTTGGGCCCTTAAAACATTGTTTAAAGCCACACCTGGAATCTCAAGTACCAGGATCAGTGATGGAAGCTAAGCAGATACATAGATGGAGTTGCTATCGAAAGATATAGAACTCAGGTATCCAACATCGTACCTTGATTATATTGTAGTATTTTCTCACTACCAAATGAAACCTGAACAAGAATTGCGCCGGTTAGCGGACGCTAAATTTCCATCAATTGTAGGCATTACCTTTTGTCGATGGTTTTAATTTTAAATTCATGTATGCGACTATGTTCAATAATGCTTTTTCATTCTACATTATTGGCCGCTATGGAGTAGGAAGTGGAGGGATTGCCATTGTAAAATATGATTATGATGTAAATTAATTTATAATTATAAATGATAATATAAATTAATATAGTGATAACTACCATATTTTGATCTAACATTACGGAATGCGATTTAAATTAATTCGGCTTGTTAAACCATTCAGCCACTCGTATAATTGCTCGCCACTAGAGAAAATAAATTTAAGACAGTGAAACTTTCCAGGCACGAAGAGATTAATGTAATTTATTTTTAACAGGAAACTATCATGAAACTAATAATATTGCGCGTCAAACTTACTTTGGCAAAATTCCGGGATTTCGTCCGACCCATCTTTGCAGTGTCTCACTCCGTCACACATGCCACTGGCTGTAATACACTGTCTACCATCGGCACATTTTAGTGAGCCTTTGTGACAGGGACCATCCCACACTGGTGTTATAAAGTGTGATAAAGTGTGATAAAGTGTGATAAAGTGTGACAAAGTGTGACAAAGTGTGATAAAGTGTGATAAAGTGTGATAAAGTGTGACAAAGTGTGAGAAAGTGTGACAAAGTGTGACAAAGTGTGATAAAGTGTGATAAGTTGCGATAAAGTGTGATAAAGTGCGATAAAGTGAGATAAATTGTGAAAAAGTGTGATTAAGTGCGATAAAGTGTGATAAAGTGCGATAAAGTGTGATAAAGTGCGACAAAGTGTGATAAAGTGTAATTAAAGTGTAATTAAGTGTGATAATGTGTGATAAAGTGAGGTAAAGTGTGGTAAAGTATAAGTCTCGAAATAGTATCATACAATATTTGTTGTTAGTAAATATTAACTAGTTTCAGACTTGATACGATAATAGAACTAAAAAGGAACCTTAAAACATCATATCATCAATCAATTGCAATTAATTCATAAATTTATTGCTTTATTTAATTCCCTAATATAAGATTAAACTATTATTAACTAACCCCAACAAAATTCGTCCGATTCGTCAGAGCCATCTTCACACTGTGCCTTGCCGTCGCAGAGCTTCAGGTTGAGTATACATTGCTGACCATCGCCGCATAAAATCTCACTCTCTTGATCTTCGCATGAACTTACTGGTGTGATTGATAATGTGTGATTAAGTGTGATTAAGTGTGATTATGTGTGATAAAGTGTGATTACCATTTTACATTACTAAATTAATCTTAAGTTGCTGCTTTTGCAGCAAAATATTTGAATATTACTATTATTATCAACACTTTAGTTTAAAATAAATAATTTGTATAGTTTTTTAAACCTGAACAAATTTCTTCGGATTCATCGGACCCATCAAGACAGTCCACTTTGTCGTTGCAATTTTGCCACGGATCTATACATTGTAGACCGTCCCCGCATTTGATATCATTCCCGGGACAGGTATACCCTGATTTGGTAAAAATTACGAGATTGGTACAACTTTTACTTACATAACTTTTACAATGTACAGTGTACAGTGTACAGTGTACAGTGTACAGTGTACAGTGTACAGTGTACAGTGTACAGTGTACAGTGTACAGTGTACAGTGTACAGTGTACAGTGTACAGTGTACAGTGTACAGTGTACAGTGTACAGTGTACAGTGTACAGTGTACAGTGTACAGTGTACAGTGTACAGTGTACAGTGTACAATGTACAATGTACAATGTACACTGTACACTGTACAACGTACATTGATACAACTTGTACTAGCGTTTCAAACGGTACCCTAGCACAATTCAAACGGTACCCTAGTGCATCCAATCACTTTTTAAGTCTTAACGTGTTATCACTACTGAAGAGTAGCTTTATTCGAATTTTTCAAACCTAGGCAAAATTCCGGTATCTCGTCAGATCCGTCGCTGCAATCCTTAGTTCCATCACACTGCAGCCTCTTACTCACACATAGACCGTCTCCGCATTTAATATGGCTGTCCGGGCAGGTTATAACTGGGATAATTTAAATAAATTAGTTCATTAGTTAGTTGATAATTCAATTTTATTAATAAATAAAAAATCTACAAAAAAATCAAAAATTCTCAAACTGTTCAACCTTTGTTGTTAACACAATCAAAAAATTCCAAACCTATAGTTTTCTCAGTGATGGGTTCAAGTTCTTCAGTGTAATCCCACGTTACAACTTTAGTCGGTCCTTCAGAGCCTGTTATCGTAATTATCTTAATCAGTTAATTAATTAATTAATTATATTAAGTTTAAAATAATTCTTAATAAGCTATTTTTTGACTAATTACAGGAAAGCGAAGGATATTATAGCCTATAGGAAATGGAATATGGCTCTTACAAGGCCAATAACGGTTTCCTTATCTGTTATCATTAATCAGAGTCACCCGTGCCCCGTGGAGGCCGCATAGACTGAATGGAGTGCTTAGATCACCCTTAATGGCACATTAAGTGGGGCTAAAACTTATTTTAGCCTTTCTACAACAAAATGTGTACGCTACAATTTGACACAAAATGTTTACGCTTGACCATCAATCTTTAATTTTTCAAAATTCGGCCTCTCACTCGCCAAATTTATTTTTTCTATAACTTATATTACCTTTCTTCTCGTCTATGATCTTTCCACCATCTACGAGAAATACATTGACAATATATTTAAATTGATGTTGATAAAATTAATGTTGGATAAAATTAAATATGTTTTAGTTTAAAAGTGTATTGCATTTGAACACGAAAGTAAACACACAATGTAAGGCTTAGTTCATAATTATTAATCAGTAACGTCACTCCGACTAACTTAATGATTTGTAAAGCTTGATAAATTAATTGATAAGATAATCGACTTAATTATCTGACTAACTTGATAATTTATAAAGCTTACCAGGTGCATCAGTCTTTGCTTCCGTTTTAGCAGGCAGTGTATACGTGTAGTTATATGTCCCGTGGTGGGTAAACTCGGTAGCATCCATTTTTTCTTTTACAACCTCTCCTTCTACAACCTCTCCTTCGACTGCTACAACCGTTTCTTCTACTGCTACAACCTCTTCTACTACAGGTGGGGGGGGCCAAAAGTCAGTACCCATATTTTAAATAGTAAAATGACGAAGTTATCAAGCAATTTGTGTATCTCGTTAGCAAAATTGATTGGTAATCAATGATTATCCAATTACGACACCGTAATTGGGCTCTTTGCACGATTCCGGGATTCCCATAATTCAGATCTAGCCTCAACCCAATCACCTGATCACACGTAATAAACAAACTCGTTATGCTTCATATCTCGTCATATGAGAAGCTAGAACTCTCATTTTTTCGGAACAAACGTATTTTAAATGGCCAAACGTGATTATAAAATTTGGCTCGATCCAACAAACCAAACTATCGAACAAATGAACCTTCATTTATTAAATGAACGCGAATATTTTTCGATTTGACAAATTCCTCGAACCAATGGTAGTAGTAAGTAATATCAAAAAGAATTATTTCAATTGGGCACTCAGTGACTGAGCTATTATAAGGCCAACGTATGGGTACTGACTTTTGCCCCCCCCCCCCCCCCCCCCCGCCCCCTCCCCCCTGTAGTTCTACAACCACGTGATTAATACGTTAAAAAATAATTACTATATGTAAATGCTCTAATATATATATATAACACATATAACGCCGGCACGCACAGGGATTGTATTTCTATTTTTCCCGCGACGCGTGGGAAAAGTTGATAATAATTTCGAGTGCGAAGCACGAAGGATTATTATAAAAATAACTCCGACGTGTTCCGGGTTGTTCTCAAGTGATAAGGCTAATTCGTTTTAATATTCATTTAAAATCGTATGGTAGGATCCGACATAATACCTCGTGCGTAAATTCACCTCGATAAGTTATACTGTAAATTGTTCGGAGAAAGGTTCTATGTGATTTGCCTTGAGTCACAGCAAAGGTATGTGTTTACTAAATTGAAAACCTATAATTCGATTGAAAATAAAGCGACAGAGAGAATAACTGGGTCCGTCCCAATCGGGAGAAGGACTGGGGAGACTGTGCGGAAAACTATTTACATACCTTATCGGACTATATTTGGACAGACATTAATTGAACGCTGGAGGCCCTAATGTTCATTATTATGTCCGTTCAAATACAAAATAAAGTCCAAGTTGAAGTCTGTTGAATTTTTTCCAAAAATTGTATACTTCGAACTTTTTGTCCAGACTATAAAAACTATGAGAACTTTATAGTGCCGTAAGCTAACGACGGAAAGGTTCTCCTTGGTCTACCCGAGGCACAGAAAACTCTACTAGAATATGATTATTTCAAGGATCACTTGGCGGAAAAAAGTCAATAATAAGTGACGTTCACCGGTTCATATGATGAAGATGATATGTGATAATGATATTAAGATATTAGATACTGATCATGTGCACATATTTTAACATTTTTTTTGCTTAACGACTGCTTTCCTTACTTACTGTATAAAAAAGGATTTAAAAATCATTTGCTGAAATAAAAAAACCTCAAAAAAATGTAGGTTTTTTGATGGTTTTTAATGCCTTGTAGTTGTAGCGTTCATATTAATGTCCGTTCATAATTATGTCAGTTGATTTACTGTCCGTCCAAATAAGGTCCGATAAGGTAACTATAAGACCTTTCTTTACTTCCAAAACAGGCTCGTCCTCCTTGACAGAAAAACTCACCACAGATTGTTCGCCATGCTTTCGTAGAGCAAAAAAACCTAGAGTTGGTTCCGATCATCAAGAGCAGTGAGCACTGACCGACGCATTTGACCCAGGAGCAATTTAACGAACTATAGTCTCGAAAAATGTTCCCATGCCGAACAGCCAACTCGTTCGGAGTATACTAAGGGATTGGTTCCAACAAAAGTGGAAAAAGCTCGACTTGAAAACAAAAAGCTTGCATTCTACAACGAAATCATTGCCAGCTTTGGATTAGAACCATACCTATCTCTACCCAATCACAAGAAAACCCGATGTACCACATGGCTGAGGACAAGCTCCCACAAACTTAAACTTAACTTATCAAGACCGGGCGATATGGCTGGAAAAATTCAAGCATCTTCTACAGAGCTTGCCACTTCTGCTGCAGCTCAGACAGAATCAGCATAGACCTCCTGAACGAGCTCCCTTTTAGTGACATCATTAAAGAAGACGAAGTCCATTTGCTATTAAAGAATGTCCTGTCTACAAGGAGATCAAACAAAGAAACAGCACAGACCTTCACAACATGCTCACAAATAGTCAATTCAGTAAATATTTAAGAGGATTACATTCTTGAGACCAGAAATTTTGTTTATAATCTATTTCGTGAAAGTCAAAGATTTCCTAAAAGTAAGCTGTGATTTAGTATCCATATTCCGTGCATACTTTGAAACCATTTCTTTTTCTATGATATTATGTTTTTTGTTTGGTAAAATAATTTTCATTTTACTGATCGGGATCTGACACATGCAATTTTGTAATGATCTTTCTAATTTATAATTTATAATTTCTAATAAGACCCAATCGGAAATTTGATGTTTTAAAAAACCGGATTGTAACATTCGGACTGACCTGCGAGAAGAGACTCCGGTAGAACGAGGAGCACGATCCATATTAGCATCGCACCTTTTATCATCATCATAATCTGCAAAATGGAAATAATGAAAATTTGCAATAAAACTTTGATTTCATTTAATCAAAATAACTTCAAGATAATGTGTTCAGTGCTAAAAGAACTGCTATAAAAGAATCATTCATTATTTTATCAGCAAGTCTATTTTAACATTTTAATCAACCTGGTACCCATCACAAACGTAAAAATATTAATGTAAATTTAACTCTATTTCAGAATAGACGTAGAAATTTCGATACGTTCTGCAACTATTTATTTCCATTAGAATTTGTCTTCACTGAGTCTATTCAGAAATAATCAGGAATGTGAATAAAAGAAACTTAAAATCATGAGACCTAATAATAATAAATGATCATTTATTAATATAATATATATATGAGTCGACTCAATCAGATCATCACAAAGGGTTGCATTATCAAGTTATTAAAGTATTAAATGTCGCAGAGTGAATCGTTCATTCAATATCAATCATTGCTATATTTGTAACATTTTTCAGATTGTGCAGCAGAAGTATAATAAGTATCTCGCTAGAGACAATCAAATTGTATTAGGCACGTCTTGATCAAATCGAGAGAAGACTTGACTACCGGTAAATCATATGGTAATAATATTACCATATATAATAAATCATATGGAACATATCCGTAATAATAATAACTTTATTCGTACCCTTCATGGACCAGAAGAAATGTCTCATTAAACGTGTTAAATTTAACAATCACTGCTAATTACATCGTCCCAGGAACAGTCTTATGTGATTAAGTTTGACGCAATAATTAGTACTGTCCCCTGAGGTTCGATAGATCGTCTGCACGTGTCGTGCAGGGTCACGATAATTGGAGTTGCTCAGAAGATCACCTCCCGGATTGCAACATACAAATTATTTGTGTCACGTCAGGGACTGTTGCCAGGTCATAATATACCCTTATACTAACTCAAATAACGGAAATATTAATATGAATATTAATATTATATTAATAGGATGGGCCGGATGGTAATACTCCGGCCGGTAATACTCGGTCTAGCAGTCTGGAAGCCCATAGAATTCCAGTTCAGAAACCGAGTATTGAGTAAGGAGGTGCGGCGTTTTGTCACAAAGAAACCAGGATAAACTTTTGAATGAACTAATCGTTGAGGTTTCTCGAACAATCCCCACACAACATGCCCCGGGTAACACCTTGGTAACACCTTGGTAACACCTTGGTAACACCCTGGTAACACCCTGGTGATACCATAGTGATACCCTGGCGACTCCTTAAAAAATAAAAGAGGACATTAATTTTATTGTAACCTTATTATTATAAGGCTGCTGGAATGTGCTGATGGGTGCGAACTTAAAGTAAATTAAGCTTAGTACCTTACGAAACATACTTAAATGGTACAAAATTCGGTGGCTTTTCGGAAAAAACACCATATTTTCGGAGTACCAAAATTTAGCTCACCGTCATTATTCTCCCCGAATTATTATTGATTATTTACCTATTTTCTTTAATTATGACTTTATCGATTTACTATCAATATAGTGAGTTATAAATATGATTCATCAAACAAATAAACACTAGTATTCGATCATGAATTGCTTTAAGGGGGGATCGGAGGGGGGTTCACCCTGATTTTTTGTAAAATTTCATTTCGAGATAGCAATTGACCAACAAACTAGGGCCTGTGACCAAACTTTTGACAACGTCGTGTAGGGTGACGATAGTTGGAGTTGCTCAGAAGATCCCATCCCGGATTCAACATACAAATTATTTGTGTCACGTCAGGAACTCTTTTCATCTCATTCTCTCATACTATAATACCCCTATACTAACTCAAATAACGGAAATATTGACATCCACAAGTCGTACCAGGTATCTGATACTTTGCCAGGGACGAAACACGTTATTCTAACAAAAGGCTTATATTAGTTTACATTAATTAATATAAATATTAATATTATATTAATATAAGCCTATTTAAGTTTATCCGATCCCGTTGATAAATCCGATCATAAATTGTTTTTAAAAGGATTTTGAACACGTTCCATTAAAAGTAAGCAAGCTCGGTCAAGCTACTTTATTGGTCACGGCGGTGAAAGTTCGGGATTAGTCGGATTAGTCGGTCTCCTATAACCTCTGGAGGATTATAAGTTAAGTTGAGGCTAACTTTCAAAGGCTCCGAAGAAATTGTTTACAAAATTAAACCACTGGTCAGAGAAGATCTTAATTGTATTTCATTTTCTTATTGGGTTTCATTTTTGTAAAATGAGGAGATGTAACAAGAAATGCGGCCGCTTTTCTTTTGTGGAAGCCCTGGAAGGCCGCTCAATTTTCCGATCCGTGATGGCGTATTTTATCATATTCCATACAACCTGGGGAACCCAGTCTTTACTGTTTATAAGCATGCTGATATGACGGAGAGACAGGCCGAGCGCGCCGCCCAGTTAATATAATTCCATGTTGATCAAGTGATAAGGAGGTCTGATCGTTATCTTCTTCCTGCAGCGTCCGATGTCTGTGTGAGGGTAAAATGGTGACATCTTCTGGATCAGGCAGAGGTCGAGTTTTATCGGGATTACTTAGCTTCTGTAGTAGTTGTACAGCAATACTAAGGTAATGGGATTACTGCGGACCCTCTACCGGCCAAACCTTGTTAACAAAGCCGCAGTCAAGGTTCGGTGAACGGTAGTTAAAACTTAAAAGTGTTTGATGTCTGTGTGACCACTTTGACTTATGTCCCTTAAGCGCCTCATGTTGGAGACGGGATTTTTAAAACATTCTGGAGAAATGTTGGATTATTTTAACCCCAATTTAATGAGATGTTTCTGTTTGTAAAATTACATGCGTCAATATGGTAATGTTGAGGGATATGTAACCGTACAGAAGTTAAAATAAAAAAGTATCGAGATTTAGATTTTACTCTGGGTTGAATATTGAAAACTGGATGATATCATGCTTATGATGGTTTCTAATTCTATGGGGTATCATTCAGTATATAGTATAACACCGATTCAATGCGGAGTTTGGGGAAAGGAAACAGCCGCGGTAAGTCGGGATTTGCGGTAAATAGTTGACTGGTTAGCAGTTAATCGAGGTTTTACTGTATTATGAGTATATGGTTTGGGAGATGTGCCTGCGGATTATTGGTATTATACCTTTATACCAACCTATCCACTCATAAGATCCACGTCAACTGAATGGACCTCAACACTCGACTGTCACGTGACTTTTTCAACCCGTTCTCTAGAGCTGGCCCTGAGAGAAATCCTAACCCACTGATCTGATCCCAACCCTAACCCAATTTCTAACAAAAGCATATTGATATGCTAAACCCTAACGCTAACGAGAAATTTTACCAACTTCTTCATACGGTCATATCACGTGATCGACTGATCGAGACAGTTTTTCGCCAATATCTTGCCAGGGGAGCATTTTAATGTCGTGGGGGTGATTCGCAATCAGCATCCGAAAATAAATCGATTTCAGTTGGTTTCAACTATCGAAGATCGACTGTAAAGTGATTTAGCAGTAGCACGCTCGATCTGGCACGGATCTGTGTAAAATAGTTATGAGGTCAATATTTCCGGGACTCTGTCAATGACATATTCGACAACCAACACATCTCCACCATTGTCAACTTTACAAACCACACTAAACGCTTAATGGTGCCAGAGGAGTTGGACCGGACAGGTGTAAAATAGCGACTACTTTAAGTTTAACGCCGTCTTATTAGTTATTTCGCCTCTCTCTTCCACACTCAACCACCACTTAAGCGTTCATCTATGACATACCCCACAACACTTACCATCATCCTTGATTACACATCTTGATTCCACTGGCATCCTTCCACAGGACTGCCATACCCCAGAGGTAGGCAAAGCATTCATATGCTATCCTCTCGTGGGCCAACCAGGCCCAGCCTCTCTTTAAATAAATAAAAAAATAGTTATACAGTTATACTAACTCAAAATAGTAATAATTTGCTATCATATAGTGACTAGTGCTCTAATGAGATACGTACATGGTGAAATTAAGAATGTTCTTACACTTATGGTTCAATGAAAATTGTTGGTTTAACACTGTTTGTATTGTTATTATCAGAAATGACGGAAAAATATGGCACCCGGCCACTGTACAAAACAAACCTCGTTCGCTAACCCTTGTCCTTGACTCGTTTGTGCCTTCGGCACTTTAAGTCATGGATCGGGAAAAAATCCCCAAATACCATGATTTAATTTGGGGTATGAAATTAGGCGGTTTTCGGGGAAAAAATCCCTATATTTTTGTTCCCAAACCATCTAGGTTACAATCACCGGAGTTATAAGCATGTCTCGGAATGTATACTATTATTTATTATTAATCATTAGTACAATATTTGAGATTTTAACCACGTCTGCCGCATGTCATGAGTCACAATTAATTGTCTCCAATTCTTATTATGGGAAATGAGTTAACTTGTTCGCTAACATCTACTAACGAACACAACTGCAGGGTCGTATTATACCGATGTTATTTAATATGATATAATTAATATCTGAAACATTTTTGTCGTTATGTAACGTTAGTACTTTAGTAAATCCTCGTATGTAAATCGGTAAACTACTAAAAGGGTTAGACAACTCCCAAAGTTCGTGATCAAATGGCTCTTCAGGTACTATTGGGATTGGCTTTTTTTTAACAATTGAAACCGTACACTTCTTAGCTACGAATGAGGTTTCGGTGGCGATCGTGGGACCACCTGAGGTTAAACCCCAGCTCTACAAGCATCGACTTCTGGACGAAAGACTGTAAACGGGCGGAAAGAGAGGGGGGGGGGGGGCTAGATAAAGTGCAGAAACTCGAGGGTAAACTGCCAAATTGATAGAAGGATCATGAATGGTAACATTAAACTATAGAGCGAAAACGTCCTCTACTTAGGACGATAAGACGTGACAGCCTGACTAACACCCCAGTTCCATGGCCGGATATTATGCCAAATTATTAGACGGAGATCATCTACTGATATTTCTCCGGATATTTCTCCGGTTTGCAGTTCCACGACCGGAGACCATCTACGGTAATTTTGTTGATTCTGTATGATTCTGTATGAATTAATCTCCGAGAAATTCCCGGAGAGCTTCATCTCCGTCTAATACAGTAGACGGAGCCGGAGAATCATCTCCGGAGATGATCTACGGGAAATGGACCTCCGTCTAATTAGGTAGTGCGCCATCGACAGTGAGCCGCGCGTGCCGACTGTAGGATGGTTTTTTAGCGCTAATTTCGGCCAGCACAATTTTCTTCAAACAAATAGATATTAAGTATCCTTCCCGACCTCCAATTGCAACAAAAATTGGTAAGCTAACTCATAGACTTACAAAGAATGTGTCCGAAAAGTTGAAAGCATATCCAACCATCAGACATTATGTTACAGCTAAAAGCAGCGTATTTTGCCCCATTTTGATCACTATATCAACTCCGATATCCACCAAATTTTTCGGACAGTTGTGAAAGCCCTATTGGAAGGTCGTCGCCAATTTTCAGAATGATCTCATTCAAGGAACTGAAAATAAATCCAAATAATACGACAAAAATCAACGAATTTGGTCAAATTTGGTCAAATTACGCGACTTTTACAGCTAATTTTGCTCCAAAAGCCGCGCACCATCAAATATGGCACCTAGGCGAAACTCACTGATCTTTCCAAAAAGGTATGACAAATTTGGTATTGTGAAAATTCTCACAGTCTCTAGAAAACAATGGTACAAAAATTTTTAAAATCCGAGCAAGTTTATTTTTATGGAGCACCCCCTAGTCTAATAATTTGGCATAATATCCGGCCATGGAACCAAGACGTGACAGCCCGATCCTAAGCGCGAGATGCCGCCCAATTAATATTATTTATCTCCCCGATCAAGGGAGAATCAACGAGTCTTAAACAATGTGGTACTATTCGTCAATCTTCATTCTATCTCAAACAAGATTGAACTCCTTCTAAACTCAATAATTTCTTTATATATAAATCGATGACACTCTTGACTCTGCGCTGTAATTCTCTGTTATTCTTGGAGTGTGATATCAGATTACCCGAGGTGTTTACTCGCTAGGCTGAGATGACTTCCTCGGTCGTTATGGTAACTTGAAATGGGACTTTTTGCAGTTAATTGACGTTTGAATTTATAATACAGATTAAAGATCAGTAGTAATTTCACATCAACAATCTCAGCTGTATTAATATTTCATTTCCTGCAGCTGCAATAATTGCAGATTTTACTGCAATTATTTATTTCATTTGTTAAAAATACGATAGCCATGTTGCATTGTTTCAAAACGCCTATGAGCAGGGGTCCCACTATTACTAAATCACTCGCCAACAACAACTGCTCATAGGAGGTTCGAAACAATAAAACGTTGGTAATTTTTATTGCAGATATTAAATCATAACACAAATATTAAATCATAAGACTAACTTGCAGATTTTAAACCATAACATCAAATTGAAGGTAATCGACCAATGACTACACGATATGTCGCCCAACAACAAAGCTCAAACTGTTATAAATTCTCACACTATTATGCTTATAAATGTGGAGTCCGGTGGAGGGTGTGGAGGTGAGAGCAATTACCCAATCAGCCATCGTTGTTAAATACGTCAAAAAATCGACTCAAAATACGGCGTATTCAATGTTCGAGAGAAATACGTAAGAATACGTGAAGTTTCCAATCAATAAGCCCGAAAAAAATTATGTTTAGACCCTGTTAAATTTTTTTCGGAATGCGTCTAAAATTAACCAATCGTTAGTACCAACTAAGCCACACCACGTGGAGGTTCGGAGAGGATTTCGTGACCCCCAACTAAGGGTACATGAGCTAATAATCTTGTTTGCAGATGTTTTGAAATCATGAATTCTAATACATTAGCGGTAACTTCATTCATTTAATTAAAAAATAAGCCCGCCATGAAACACTATGAAACCAGCAGATCTTAAATCAAAATGCAAAATGTCAAGGAAATCCGAGAGTTAAAAGATTAGTTGCAAAAAACCTACTAAGCTCTGGAAAATTCCCACGGAATGTGAAAAAACTTTGGGTTCATAACAACAAAGATCGGCTTCAGGATAAGTTCAGCAGTTCAAATGATACTCTGACCCCATCACATAAAGTCCATCATGCCAGTTCTTTAAGCTGATCACTGACAGGGAGAGACTAATGATATACGGCTACCTGCAAACAATCGTATTTTACGCCTGCAAAAAATCAGTTTTGTATTTTTTTCTTTCCCCAAGTTCAAAACGACGTCACGTGCATTTTGTGTTAAGATTGTTTCACGATGGAACTCTTCTCGTGATCCTTTACCCATAAAGACGGATTAGTCCTGGCCATAATAACACAGTAAAACCCTAATATATCGAAGAGTTAGGGAGAAAGCGCCTCGGTATATCAGGGTTCGAGGTCAATCAGGGGTTTACAGCTTGTTCACATTATGTATGTTAAACCCTGAGTTTTTTGTGCGGTTTATTTTATAAATCTATTTAGTTTTGAAGCACTGTATTGATCACTTAACTTATTTGTTATGCTCGAAGTGGTGGGGTGAACCACAATAATTATGACACGTGACTGCGATTTTGGGTTTCAGTAAATTCTGGTGGCTGATTGGTTAATAGCTATATCGTGTCATTTTCCGAATGCGAACTGCTTGACACAGCAACCCATGATATTCTTGAAACTTTTAAAAAACCGTTACTTCTAAGCATTACTCCAGATCCTACGCTACAAAATTAGATTATCATGCACTTAATTAATATTTATAGCGTTGTTATTTGTTAGATTATCATGCACTTAATTAATATTTATAGCGTTGTTATTTGTTAAATTGTCATGCTCGTAACTAATATTTATAGCGTTGTTATTTGTTTAATTCATGCCATACTTTTAATTAAACTAAATCATCATTGATTGCAAATCTTCAGTATTTCAATTTTGCAGATTATGATGGTGATAAAACGTGCGATGCTAATATGGATCGTACTTCTCGTTCTACCGGAGTCTCTTCTCGCAGGTCAGTCCGAATTCTATAATAGCCAAAGAAATCTTTGCATTGCAATGGCCGTATTAACTATTTTAAATGCAATTTGGCCGTATTCTAAAGGAGATTATACCAATAATCTCTTTTCAGGGTATGAATACTATCTTTTCAATTCTGCTTTGACGTTTCTTGGTAATATCTGAATACTTGATTTTGTTTAGATATTTATTAAATCAATTAATTTTTCATTTGATTATTTATTTATCGAATAATCTATTTCAGAAGAAGGAGAAGATCATACTACTGAAGGAGAATACACTGAGTACACACATGGGAGTACTTATAACTTTACTCACGCCAGCACACATGCATACACCAAGGAACCTGGTAAGCACACACGCATGATACACCAAGGAACCTGGTAATTACACATGCATACACCAAGGAACCTGGTAAGCACACACGTATGATACACCGAGGAACTTGGTAAGTACACACGCATACACCGAGGAACTTGGTAAGTACAGGGAGGCGAAAATACCCAACGTTTGTGTTACTAATTACTGTTAGGGTAGTAGGGTGGATTTTAAGCACCCAAACCATAGTCATAACTCATTACCTTAACCCTAATATTTAATAATAACCTTCTCCCTTTAACTCAAAATTGTTGAAGTTTTCAATAATTTTTTTCCCTGCTCTTGCCGAAGGCAAAAAGATCGTAGGGAGTAAGTAATCGGGTTTGGATATATGAGGTGGCCCGACGGTCCTACGGTGATGACAAAAGTCTGCTCCTTCGCAATATAGACCACTCCCCTATAATTATGAGTATAAAAGGAGTCTATTTTGCGCGCGCGACGCCTGTAATGTGTTAATTAATTACAGGCATAGCAACCAGTTTTTGGTGCTTGACGACTGTTACACAGGTTTCCATCGGGTTACAATTCACTCTCATTCATTAATATAGCATATTAGTCATCAGAGCGGATCAATCATCAATGTAAGTGTTATTTTGGTGAAACAAACAATAAATTACCGAGTGATAAAATTCAGCAAGTCGAAACAAATTAAATTATGATATCAGCTGATAAACTCGTTGCTGATTACTTAACAGTTGATCGACACTTAATGGTAAAAAGCGAAAACATAGTTGACAAAAGATGTTACTTTACATTTACATTCAAGGAGCAACTAAGATCAAGATTGCGGTATGCTTTTAAAGAATCCTATATAAAATCAAAGGCTCGATAGTCGATAGTTGATGGTGCTGTAGATGTAAGCATCAAACAGAATAGTTGATTACAGTCGATAAAGTTGGCATACGATGCAATAATATGACGTGACATGATACGCATCGTTAACACGAAACAAAACCGCGCAAAAATGAAATGATCTACAACCAAACCACATACAGATCGACGGCGACACTTCAGATGCGCGCAGAATTTTACAAGTTCTGCACGCCTAATATAATATAAACGATTATCACGTGCGCCAAACACCACTCTGGGATACAATAAAGTATAACAATTACATTGTAGGCAGTAGGGAAATTTGATTGTGCGTGGTGTTACCGCGGCGAAATTCTTGTTCTTTTCACACTTCGTGATCGGAATTTTCGGGTACACTGTACAACCGTTATAATCAATAATTACTGCATAATATGCAGTACATATATACGCTGTGTTGTGACTTGTACCAAGATAAGTTTAAAATTTTACAACTTCGGTTTTAAATTGTTGGACTATTGAAACGTGTTATTGTATAAACCATACAATGTTTCAGTGAGTGGGGAGGACACAACAGATAAGAAAGAGGATCCAACAGGTATCAATTATTAATATTTGATAAAATTAGTTATCAGTTCGATCTAACTAGTTTAAGTTAAGTCTTTCAAAAAATGACAAGAGAATATTCATTTACAGTCAAATCACGAGCTACCAAAGCTGTTTAGTATCTAGGAAGAAAAATTATGATTAATTAATTTTTTGATTAATTAAATGTGATTAATAATAAACCCCAGTAAATCGGGACACACTAGATCGGGATTCGGGACTTTTGCTGTTATTTTACAGTGTTAGTTTACACTAATACGTTTATTTTAACAGAGGAGGAAGGCCCAACCAAAGTAACGCACTATTCCTACACCTACTCTTTAGCCATTATTACTACCATGGAGAAAATACCAGGTTAGATATTCCATTATATTATTATCAATGTTAATCAATATTAATAAAATTCCACTAATCGAGCCCACAACTTTTACTTTTCTTATTTCTTTGAATGTTTTTTATTATACAATGTACAGGGTGTTTGTTATAAGACTAAATTCAGAGTACCGCTTTAAATTTCGACTTCGTGAGTGAAGAAAATCAATCGCAACTTGCGTATTAAATTTAAGGTATTACATGTAGAGATGAAAATCAGATTTATTCCTCATTTTTCTCCATAGTCCAACTATTACAATTAGTTATATTTTAGCAAAACCCAGTCGTAATTTATAAACTAAAGTAAAACAACAAGTAAGTTCAAAAAAGAAATGTTATCATACCATTGTTAAATCTTAATTAAAGTTATTAATCAAATTTATTAAATTTAAATGTTCCCTTCCATTTTTCTCCATAGTCCAACTATTACGATTAGTTATATTTTACCAAAACCCATAATTGGGTAGAGTGGACCGCTACCAGTGTCTCCCTTTCCCAAACAAAAGGAAATTATATTAATTTGAATGACCGTTCTCAAATGCAAAATGATACCGAGAATGAAATCGGTCGGTCGCTCACTTTTCCCACTTATTCACGGCTCACGACTTGTAACAAGTTTTGGTTTATCACATCAATCACATGCTGTAAAAATCTAAAGATCTCTTTATATAAATGCTTTTCATACAAAGTTAAAACAAATTCTTCATGTAGTGCATCCTGGGTTTGGAGTTTGGACAGGATATGCCTGTTTAAAATATTTCCATCACGTTACATTACATAATTCTCAATAAATGTATTTAATTGTAGTTAAATACATTTATTGATTTATATAGTTTATAAACTATAGTTTATAAACTATATAAATATATTATAAAGTATCCGCTTCACCAGAGAGAGTAGTGTGTCCGGATAACCAGGTCACGTGTAAAGACGGTCTCCAGTGTGTTGATAACATTAAGTTATGCGATGGTAATAGTGACTGCAATGATGCTTCAGATGAATCAGCTGAGTTCTGTTTAGGTTTGTATAGTTATCGAGTTTTTTGTATAGGCCGCCGCGGCTAAGAGATTCGTCTGGTCGCACAGTTTCAGCCTTATAAGGAACTAATTAACTAATTAACTAATTAACTAATTAACTAATTAACTAATTAACTAATTAACTAATTAACTAATTAACTAATTAACTAATTAACTAATTAACTAATTAACTAATTAACTAATTAACTAATTAATTAATTAACTAATTAACTAATTAACTAATTAACTAATTAACTAATTAACTTATTAACTTATTAACTTATTAACTTATTAACTTATTAACTTATTAACTTATTAACTTATTAACTTATTAACTGGTTAACTGATTAACTAATTAACTAATTAACTAATTAACTAATTAACTAATTAACTAATTAACTAATTTACTAATTAACTGATTAACTAATTAACTAATTAACTTATTAACTAATTAACTCATTAACTTATTAACTTATTAACTAATTAACCCTATTATTAATTATCACTGCCATGCGACCCATGCGATTGCCAATCGTTTAGCCGCGAAATATACTTAATTTGTTTATAGTTATTTGAGATGTTATCTTACAAAATTTATATTTTATAATTACAACTTTATTAATAATTAAAACTTTAAAAACTTTGTAAACAAGCACCACTCACTCCAGCGTACACGTGCCCGGATGATAAATCTAAGTGCGCAGACCAACAACAATGTGTAGACACGTGGAGATTATGTGACGGGTATGAAAACTGTAATGATGGATCTGACGAAGAATACGACTTCTGTCAAGGTTTTTAAAATTTTTTAGAGTTAATGAAGACAATATGAATTAGTAATCGAAACTTTATAGATTAAAGTAATACAACAAGTAAGTTCAAGAAAGAAATGTTATCATACCATTGTTAAACCTTAATTAAAGTTATCAATCAAATTGATTAAATTTAAACGTTCCCTTCCACAGCGTTTATGTGTCCTCCAAACAAAATTAAGTGTGGTAATGGTACGAGTTTTTGATAGAAGTTAAAGCTATTAATTAATTATTTAATTAATTAAAGTTATTAATTAATTAATTAAAATTCCTCAGCGTTTGTCTGTCCTCTTAACAAGTTTAAGTGTGGTGATGGTACGAAGTGTATCAGTAAGTGGTGGCTGTGTGACGGTCATGGCTACTGCGCTGATAGATCAGATGAAACACCCGAACTCTGCTTAGGTTTGTTTATTAATTAATTAAAGTTATTAATTCAGTTAATTAAAAGAACATGGGTACTGCGCTGACAGATCAGATGAAACACCCGAACTCTGCTTAGGTTTGTTGAATAATTACCTGAAATTTATTAAGGTTTGATAAGATAAATAATCACTTGAACTTTGTATAAAGGTTTGATTGATAGTTGATACCTGAACAAATAATATTCTGCGTAGAATTTCCCGATAGTTTAAATTCGATATCAAGCGCTGAAGCGCTAGACTGCGCTATAAATAGCGTTAGATAGCGAATTTCAACTATCGCTAAAGAACTGATAGTGCTTATACGAGTTGAAATAAATACAAATAGATTTTTTAAATAGATTAATATTTTGTTAAAATTAATATTAATATTTGCTGTATCAGCGCACACTTGTCCGTACCACAAAATCAAGTGTAATGATGGTCTGAAGTGTATCATGAAGCGAACCATGTGCGATGGGAGGGAGGACTGTTTTGATGGTTCAGATGAATTAAAGGAGTTCTGTTATACCCATGGAGGTTTGTTTTATTAATTAATTATCTTATTAATTAATAAGTTGACTCATTAATTTCAATTTATAAACCTGAAACACGTTCGATAACATGTTTTTATATTACACGTATCAATCGTATATTGCTATAGCTTAAAAGGTATCATAACAATTATTTATAGATTTGTTGTCTTCTATCTTTCTAATTCTCAAAAGACGATAATTCTCTTCGCTGCTACAATTACGCACACAATTATAATTCCTACACTTTGTCTTTACTAACTTCACTGATAAAAATCCTCAGTGAACGGGGGCTGGACGAGTTTCGGGGAATGGTCGGAATGCTCGGCTGAATGTGGGGAGGGGACACAGATAAGGACCAGAACCTGTACTAACCCCACACCTGCTTACGGGGGTAGAGAGTGCAGTGGGGACCCGAAGGAAGCTAAAGTGTGCACACTTGATCCGTGTACAAGTATGTAGTTGATCTTGCAGTTAATTGTAATATTAATAGAAATAAGTTAAACTAATGTGAGGACACGTAAGCTTGAAGCTTTGAGGATATTGGTACAAATAATTAGTGGCGTTTTTATCGCTATAGTGGCGTAATTTAATTGGACACGCGTTAATTAAGGGTTTTCCAAAAATAGTTGAATATTTGATTTAGTGAATATTGAAATTTAACAATATTTATTTTCATAACAGAGGCCCAAAAACGTAAACAGAGAAGAAAGGATAGGGGTATCAAATGGGGAAAGAAATTTGCAAACAGAGAAGGTAAGAGGTTTCATTATTTTAACCCCGTTACTTAAAAGTTATAAATGATTTATTTCCGTAACGAGACATAGAAGTCGTCACTCGTCAAGCATAATGCAAAAACCCTGGTTCACGAACGAAAACGTTTAATATTCTGCTGTTTGTTTTTTGTATGTAAGGCTATTATTGTTTTACACTGTGACTTATTTCCAGATATAGGAGAGGGAGCAACAGAATGGGCAACAGAGGAAGCAGAGGCTGGTGGACAAGGAAAATGGAGAAAACGAAGAAGAGGAAGGGGACGAGGCAGAGGGAGGAGGAGGAAGAAGAAGGGGAAAAAAGGACCAAAAGAGGGAGAAGGACCTGATGATGGCACCGAGGAAGGAACTGAGGATGGAACAGAGGATGGAACAGAGGATGGAACAGATTCCAACGACAGTACATCAGCCGCCTTCAGCAAGGCATCTGCCATCAAAACAGAAAAGTGTAAATGTCGCATGTAATTTTCCACAAATTTTGAGGACATTAAACTAGTCGAAATAAGTTCAGATTTGTTAAAACTCATCTGAAGTGCTCACTAAAACTTGTAGTTGTGAAGAAGGGATTTTCAACAGTGCTGAGCATCACCATAAGACGGGCTTACTTAATTATTGATCCTTCATTTCAGTTGATACAACAAGTTACGCTACGACAAGTTTTATGACGAGTGCACTATATACTGGTAAACAGAAAATGACTTTAACGGATCGCTCAGATATTAATAAAACAAATTATTATCTATTTAATAAATCACGAGAAGTGGTCTACGAAGGGTCAAAATTTGAATGAAAAAATCTGGGTGACGTAATATTTGAACGATCCCTTCTTTAATTGACGATTTTTTATGATTATTCTCCATAATATCATAATCTGAATATTGACTTAGTTTGGCAGGTCATTATTTATGGTTACAAACCATTATTTCAGCGCAATACCCGACCTGTGACTGCTGGACTCCCGAGTGTGGCTACTGCTCTAACATGGACTGTACAGTAAAGCAGGATCTAATCAACTCCCACAAAGGCATCCAAGTACACTCTCACATCAAACGGAAGACGTTCAGTACCATTGTACTGTATGAAGAGGACGGAAAAGTTGTCGGCAGACTCCAGTGGAGTCTCTCCGGAATCTACCTCACCGGGTGTATCGCCTGCCAAACACCTCCTGCTTTAAAGAAAGCTACAGCCAAAGACGGACATACTGTATGGTCATTGTCCCTGAAGAACGGATCTCTACGAATCAAGATCAAAGGAGATGTCTTGTACGAACAGAAACTGAGAGGAGAATGCGTGGACATATACAGTAAAGTAAAAAGATTCGCCTTCTCGGGAATGGGCTGTGAGAGCGCTTTCTCCTTTGATCACGAGGAAATGGAACTTGGGGCGAGGATTACGTCTGACTGCAGTGGGAAATGCTCTCACTCCGTGACGAAACGTCAGCTTCAATGATTGGATCCTCGTCTATAATAGGCAATACAAAAACTCACATAGATTATTTGTTTTTATAACCGCTATACTCTCACGTTTATTTTCTTCGCAGCGGTTAAATTATTAAATAGCTGGAACTCTTCAACTTAAATGGACAATATGGGATTTTTGTTAACTATCAGTAATCAGTATTTTGATCCGTTAAAATCTTGAACTGTGTGAATCTAGCCAGCCAGATAATATACATGTTAAATTTGTATGCAAAATGTAAATATTTTCTTGATGGAAGATTATGATTAATAATAATGATTCTAGGTTAAAGTTAAGCAAAAGCTATTTGCTATTCATAAAAGAATAATTTGTATTCATCAATACCTAAATATTTCAACCTCTTTATGAATACGACTTATTGACACCACTCAATCATTTTTATAATCACCTTTTCACGCCTACCCATCATAGCTGAACTTGAAGACGATTAACACATGTTTTTTAAAGCTTCTGTTACTAAAACTCTAAAAGATCATAGTATCATTTTTTCCCGATCGGGAAATTGAGCGAGCATCCACAAAAGAAAAGCGGCTGCATTTCTTGTTATGCTTCAAGAACAGAGAACCCGCAACCCCACCGATCTAGCCGATTGGGATTTCATCCAGCAACATATAGATTTAGAACTAGTTTATTTTCAAGAAACAGACAAAACCGAATAGAAACTGTAAAACAATTAACAGTACACCACCCATTTACATATTGTTTTGACTATATGATATTACAATATTTGATATCAATTAACTTTTGTCGTGTGCAACGTGTACAATAGTATACATTGCATATTAGACATAACACATTTTTATAGCAAAAAAAGTGTTCTAAAAGTTTATAGACTTACAAAAATTACAATTTATGCCTCAATTTACGTTTCTTGTTCAAATCTTTGGTGATCATTAAAAAGAATGTTCGATCAAAATTATAGCTATTTCTCAATTTGTACCAGTAATTAATTATGAATCAACACAATATACAGTAGGGACTCTTGGTGGAAGATGAACAATTGAAATTCCAACAGCATCTTGTTCCCTGCATTGTGCTGATTCCGGGAAGCATTCTCTTTACACTCTTATCATTCTGTAGAATAAGATATCGTTCATTTAAAATTGGGTAATTATAGGCCTGTCAAGGATTGCAGTCCAATTAAGAGCTGATAAATTGCAGCTCCTTGTGCCATATGAGGGATAACTGAGGTCACGTGACAGTCGGTCCTATCATGTGACCAGTAATCCTATCACGTGATCTTGATTCGTAAATCCTCGGGCACGTGATCACATTCGTAACGTGTCGTATGCCAACTAGGATATTTTGTGACGTCACCAGAGCCCAAGCTACTTGATCAGGCCTTATATGGAATAATATAGTGTATCACGTGTAATTGGACCCAATTAGAGGAGCCGAGTGCTCAATTGTGACAGCATCTGGTACCATCTTCTGAAACCTAGCAGACAGCTGGCCCAGAGAATCGAAAATAGAAGGATTTTTTATTGACCAGTAAATTCCACGCCTCCACGGTCGCTTGTTATCATAACAAGCGACCGTGGAGGCGTGGAATTCACTGGTCACTGAGAGCACTGACTGGATGCCCCTCAGCAAGAACAAAAATATGCATTTCAGGAACATTAAAAAAGAAATTTCCGGTTGAATATCCGGCCAGATTCTTGGAAACCGGACAGAAACCGGAATCGGACATTAAAGCCGGATATCCGGCAGAAACCGGATTCAGCCGGATATCCGGTCAGTTCTTAGGGCAGTTCAACCCACTTTGTCTCTTGAATACATGATAGTCCAGGGCCAGGGGAGTTATTTAAAACCACTCTCTCATTATCTAAAACCATTTTCTCATTATGTTACACACTTCATCATTATGTAACAGAGAGTAGTCAGAGAGTAGTCACTTCGATGTAAATAATTTCTGACAACACAGGGACCTTGAGCTTTACAAGGTCGTTCTAAATCAAAATCATTTAGGGTCACAACCTCTGAAATGTCAGGTTCTGTATGAGATAAATAATTGGTTTTCTAAACTGTTGGCTCACATATTTTCAACGGTTATTTAGACAATATCTTAAAAACAAACGTAACTTATTAAGCAAGATCGACTCGTGATGTGTCATTTGATTGTGTCTCAGTTCCTTCTCAAAAGAAAACTATCTTTTAGACGTCAATAGACGAAATAAAATAAGAAAGTTTAAAATTAACTCCCTGTGGGTTAACGCCACCCTGTTTGATCTTAATCACTCGCCTGCGAATTTCTGCAGCTATTTTAAATGCTCCTATGAGGAGGTGTCTTGGTACTGACTTTAAACTTCTCATCGTTGTAGGTTTATAACCTACTACGAAGCAAACAGGTAAGATATACTGTAGTTAAGGGAAAATTCTCTTAGAGTTCAATTAAAATGTTATGGTATTATTTCAGGAGGAATGAAGAATTTAAACTGTCGTCACTAACAATTAACAATATAACAGTTCCACAAAATTGAGAACAATGAAAATAAATAACCAACAAAGAAACTCTTGAAGTATCCGGAGATTAGTACACAAAAGGTGAATTTTAAATTAGTGTCGTATTGTGGTTTCGTGAGGTTACATTGTGCTATAATAACAAATAACTGAACACGGAACTTTTGGAATTTGTATATGTTGTTATTTATCAGAAATCTGAGTAACAATGCCTCTATAAAAAGTAAAACTGAACTAGTTTACCTGGGTTAACACACTGAGGGCGTGACGACCGAGAGAAGACGATCCCTTTCTCACAAGTTATCACTTTACTGCCCATCAGTAAGTACTGAGGATCACAGACTACTGTGATATCAGTTCCGTATGTGATAGGAAAGGTGGCGTTAGTTGATAGGTGGTTTTCTAACATCATTCCCTTGCAGTGATCTAGAGATTCAAATTTTAGTACCAATTCTAAATTCTTAGCTCATCTGATTATTTGTTTAAATGATGTTTTCTTCTAAATCTGCAACATGCATACATTTAAAAAATGTTTAGCCGGAGACTAACCTATAGTGCAGATTGGACGTTGATTAAAATCAAAGGAACTGTCTCTGATGCAGGTGATGGTGTTGTCTCCAGTTAGAGTGTGACCAGCCTTGCAGGCTACTTCCACTACTGTTCCTACTATGACGGGGAAGGTGGTTGTCATATCTGATAGAGCTGCTGGTAGTTCTGTACACGTGTCTGAAAAGTGAGAAAGAAAATTGATCATTACAACAAAAAACACTTCCTTTGTCGATTACAACAAAAGTATCTTCTTTTAAAGCCTTTTTATCTCACTCGCTAGCAAAATAATTATGTATGTAAAGGTCTGTTCATGTAGATTGTAGATCTGCACTGACTTCTAACCCTCGACTCATCCTTTAGCCTGTGTTCTTACATATAGACAACTGAAAGCTCCAAAAAGCTCCAAAACTATCTCTGGTGAACCATACTTGTGGAGACCGAATTCTAAACTTCAAACAACCCACCTAATACACACACAGGAGTGTCTACAAACTCCCAGTTCTTGTCCTTGATACAGGTGATAAGTCTGGTCCCTGAAACACTGTATCCCGGGATACAGTCCACTTCCACTGTAGTTCCGTGGTCCACAGGTAGTGAGGTGCTGGTTTTTATGTTGAAGACATCTGGCAGTCCAGTGCACTTGTCTGAAAATAGAAACGGTCGCGATTAAATGAGATTCTTTGATTTATCTGAGAATGTATGATCAATGATGAATTAAAATCTTATAGTTCAGTTACTGAAAACATATTCCACACACCTATAATACAAGTCTGTAAGTCTTTATAGGTATAGTGAGCGTCCTGCACGCAGGTTATCGTCATGTCTCCAGGAGTGAGAGTGAAACCCTCAACACAGCTCACAAACACCTCAGATCCCTTCTCTACCGGGAAAACTGAGTTTGTTTTCATGTTTGATCCTATCGGCAACTCAGTGCAAGTCCCTGTAAATTCAAGTTTAAATGAGTTTCTCTTTTATTGTTGTAGCTATACTGACTTTGCTTTCATTAGTTCCATTTTTGTTTTCTTATAACTAATTACTGTACTGCTTTTTGCGAAATATTTTATTCCGACGAAGGCCAGTTCTGATCTATCCTTTTTAAACCGAAAGAATGATCTTACATACCGAGATCGTTACATTTAGGTTTATCCTGATACTGGAACTTTGTACCCTGGTCACAAGTGATCAGCTCATCACCCCTCAATTCCTTATCTTCTGAACAGCTCACTGACACAATCGTTCCATAGTTCACAGGAAATAACACTTCTGTCTTTAGATAAGGGATATCAGGAGGTAAACTGGAACAGGACTCTGATAGTTATTGGAAATGAGTTTAACTTATTTATTTCCATTTCTACGTTGCAAGATCAGGGATCTTCTTAGGGTACCTTGAGTACATCCAATTTGTAATGTACTGTAAGACATATTACTATACTATAAATACAGCAAAATCATTGGTTATTGCATCTTCCTTCCTCAAATGTACCACTCACTTGCTTTGCACGAAGGAAGCTGACCGTGAATCGACCGAAAGGTATCTCCTCTAATACATGTGATGATGTGACCACCTATCAGGGAGTACCCAGCATCACACTGAACTTTCACCGGAGTGTTGTAGGACACTGGAAACTGGGTAGTTGTTGCTAGGTTCTGTGTGTCTGGTAGTTTGTTGCATTTGTCTGTAGAGAGAAGTTGATGGTAAAGAAGTGAATGGACTTACAAAATAACAAACCTGCAGACATGTTTTGAAAACAATAATTGAAGTTCAAATAGTTTGGTGTGATAACCGTAGCACCTAGGTCACAAGATGGTGTGTTGATGAAAGAGAAGTCTGTTCCCTTTACACAAGTGACAGTGCTGTCTCCAGTCAGAGTGTGTCCGGGACTGCACATCAGGGACACTTCACTTCCAGGTGGAACGGGAAATTGTGTCTCCGTTATTATCTCTTTCCAGCTTGATGGTAGACTCTCACACGAAACTAAGGAGTTGATTCCTTTAGATATAAATGAATAATTGTTAGGTCCCCCTGATACTAGAGAACCATACATTTTCTAGAATGTTCCGATTGACATTGTTTCCATACAATTATAAATAACTTGACATGAATGGAATGAGAGTAAAAGTTTACCACATTGGGTATTGGCTTCATTGGCATGAGATCCTTGAGGACATGTTGTACAGAATCCTGAACTGTCTTCACTGTATGTGTTTGTAGGACACTGTCGACATTCTGTCATAGAACTGTCTTTGTGGGTGCCAGCTGGGCAGGGGTCTAAAGTGGATAAAGGATTAATAAGAGCAAGGAAAGGCCATTCATTTTCAGCAGTTGAGCCGTCAAGAAGTTGTCCTATTTAACTATCATTTGAAATGTATTAAAATCGCCATTTAAAAAGTATGAAGATAAATGTATTTTTTCTCTCACCACATCCAGTTTTCT